GTAACGATCCTGGCCCTGTGACATCTTGCGTTGTCATCCTGGAAGATGAAACGGCGGCCATGACGTCGTGCGAACGGCACAACATGGACTGCCAAGATGTTGTCCCGGTAGTACTGGCCTGTAACACGCCCTGCAACAACATGTAAAGCCGTTCTTCCAGCAACAGTGATGCCTCCCCACACCATAACAGAACCACCCCCAAATCGATCATGTCTGATGACGTTAACGTCTTGGAAGCGCTCGTTTCGACGACGCCACACCCTCCTACGTCTGTCCAAAAAATCAACAGTGAACCTTGACTCATCTGAAAACATCACATTGCTCCAGCGTCGATTATCCCAGTGTTGACGATCCCTACACCAACGACGTCTTGCCTGAATGTGATGATCTCTCAAACAAGGGATCACGCGAGGACGTCGGGCGCGAAGGTGACCCCTATGCAGTCGATTCCGAATCGTCTGGCCACTCACTCTCACACCAGTGTCTGTTTGAAGACGAGCGCTGATCTGATTTGCTGTGATGACACGATTTCTCAAGGCCAAGGTACGGATAAATCGATCCTGGGCTTGAGTTGTCGCCCTTGGTCGACCTGAGCGTGGTCTGTCCTGTACAGATTGTGTATCACGGTATCTGGACCATAGCCTGCTTATGACAGACTGAGAAACATTCATCGTCCGCGCCACAACCGCCTGTGTTGTGCCGATCTGTAGCATGCCAAGGGCACGTAACCTTTCATTTTGGGTAAGCCGACGCATATCAAAATTTGTTTTCTGGTCACTAAAACAATTAAACTGATGTTTCCACCCTTGAATTCAATGCCACAATGACTGTAACATTCAAAGTCAGAGTCGGGCAAATCTTGGGTTGGACCCCCATGATGATCCCAAGCATCACCTGCATTCCATGCGGTAGCTATTGGTGCGTTTGGGCGTCACATGTAACTGGAAATGTTTCTTCTGTTAGGTTCTATAGTGACTTTTTTCGTAGTCATTTGCATATTTTAGTATTATGCCCCCAAAATCAAATATCCCCTACTTTTTTTGAATAGTATATATAAAGATTTCATGCAACGGCTAATCTCTCATATACATCTACACAACGTTGACAAGAGAGCGGTTTACAAACTGTATGAAGACCGCTTATTAACACTTAAAAGGTTTGAGTTCGTTAATTTGACGAGTAAGCTACATGGTCAAACTTTGTGTATAAATAATCAAAAGGCACCGAGTTATCAACTGTTAATACCATGTCGTATTCCAACCTTTGACTTATGAACTTTGATCCTCTCTCTTTGACCTTTGCTTGCATAAAGTGTATTTGAATAAAACTTTTGTTCTATTGAACTTTTGTTCTATATTTAGAAGAACGCGGTTTTTGTGAGGTCTCCATCACTTTGGAGCGGTATTGGCGTGGGGAAGTCTAGTTTTAAGTCCATTTTAAGTCTATTTTGAATCACAATGTCAGGTCATAGTGACGTCCAAGAGTTGAGAGCCCTTCCTATGCGATTAAAGGTCGTCACCAAGAATGTGTGGCATAGATAGTGTTACACGTCGCATTTGGTATAGGTTATTGGCCATGATAGACTTCCATATTCGACGGGCTATGCTACAAATGTCCGTCCGTCAGTCCACAATATGTTTATGGCTCTTCAGGTCACAATTTTTATCCAATTTTGACGAAACTTGAAATATAGGTTCATCTCCAAACGATCGCGGTTCCTGTCGATATTGGCATGTACCGGACCTTCACTTCATGGATTATGGCCCCTGGCTATACGAAAAATCACGTTTTTAGCTTGTGGACACTCTAGGGGTCACAATTTTTTTCGATTTTGATGAAACTTGAAATGTGTGTTTGTGAACTAAAGATCTAATTTATTATTGTCGATATTAAACCATAACTTCCTGGATTTTAACCCTTGATTGAACGAAAAAATCATGATTTTAGAGGGTAACAATTTTTATCCGATTTTAAAAATCATTTAAATATATTATCATTACACCCTGGTTGAGTTCGAATTTCGTGAAAATTGAACCGAAACTGCCAGACAAAATGGGCGTTCCTTGAACGCAAATAGTGTAAAAGTATGTAATGCTAAGGTTGTGAACCCTGTAGAAGTCACAATTTATATCCGATTTTTCCAACCTCGTGGGTTTTCTCCGGGTCCTCCGGTTTCCTCCCACTGCTAAAGACCCCTATGCGCAAGCGAATTATTGAAATAAAATTAAACCATATGTTAGTCCCGAAATGACCTAGTTTGTGTCGAGTGGACGTTAAACCCCATTTCTCTCTCTCTATATATATATATCTGATTTTGATATTAAAATATATATTTATATCCTTTCGATAGTCGTGCATATTAGACTATAACTTCCTGGATTATGGCCCATGATTGTACGAAAATCACATTTTTAGCTTGTGGACTCTCTAGATGTCACAATTATGATCCGATTTTAAAAACCATTTAAATACATCACAGTTACGCCATAGTTTACGTTGAGTTCAAATTTTGGGAAAATCTAGAGGTCACAATTTTTGTCCGATTTTTGTGAAACATAAAATATATGTTTATATCTCAAAAATGTCAGTTCCTTTCGATATTCACTCGTTTCCGACCGTGACTTACTGGACTATTAGCCTTGATTTTACGAAAAGCGATAGAAATGAAATGAAATGAAATGGGGTTTAACGTCCTACTATTCTGCTCCTATGCTGGGCTAATGAAGACGGGCATACGCCATACAGTGTGCTATGAGGGAAATTTTGCCCGGGCAGCGGCACTATCGCCTACTCTTATATCGAATTCCAACTACCAAGGGATCTTATACGTGCATTCTAATGTATACACGGGACCTCGGTTTTTCGTCTCATCCGAAGGACCAGACAGCTGTCCTTGCCAGGCCCTCCGTCCTGCATCACTGAACTTTCTCGGCCAATGCAGGGATCGAACACCCGACCTCCAGGCTAGCGAGCCAGCGTCTTACCTACTTGGCCACGTGATCCCCGAAAAGCGATAGAGGCTATAGTTTTCTTCTGAATGTTTCATCTAATTTGGTTTGAAGCATTGGTGTTATTACGAACCTTACCCCTTAATCCGAAAACTTTGTGAATTCGATAGAGGCTACAGACACTTTGTGACAGATTATTGTCAAATGTCTACCCCTATTGACAGTAACACCCTACGTCGGTAGAATATGAAAAGCAGAACTTCGCTACACATTCAGCGTTCCGCTACCTTTTCAGGATCCCCTCCGAAATTTCGGCTACTCTGAGATATTTATCAAATGTTATATTTTGTAAGTTTCGTGGAAATCGGTTGATAATTATGGTCTGTAGCCGTGCCACATGAAATGTGTGGTAACCTGATATCTCGGAAACCGATAACCAGAAGTGGTCGAAATTTTGCCTACTCTGAGTTATTATTAATGCTATCATATTCTGTAAGTTACATGGATATCGGTTGATAATTGTGGTCTGTAGCCGTGCCATATGAAATGTGTGGTAACCCCCATATCTCGGAAACCGTCAACCGGAAGTGGTCGAAAGTTTTGTTACTCAGAGATGTTATCAATGTTATCATAATCTGTAAGTTTCATTAAAATCGGGTAACAATTGCGGTCTGTAGTCGTAAGGCTATTTTGAAATTCTTGCTTACCACATGTGGCAAATAGTCACTGCCCCCCCCCCCCCAAAAAAAAAAACAATCAAGATGAGACAACCAATAAGCCCAGGTGGGCGATCGACGGTCACTCTCCGTTTTCTCGCTATAGGTACTGGAAAAATAACGCCCATTCTAATTACCATCCATGAATCCTAGGACTATATTATTATTGAACAATCCACTCTGCCTACCATATGTATTCGACAGCTTTGCCAGAATTCCAAACTTAATTTCAATTAGTTAGTTAGGGCTAAATTAGATTACCCGAGTCACTTAATATTATACATGCAACAGAAAAAAAAATCTGAGAAATCTCGTGTGTGGTTATGTCACATGAGAAGAATACACCAAAAATGATTGGTTTATTAGGTGAATTTATTTTCTTCGTTGTCGCTTAACTTGTCGCCGAGGTGAGCACATTACACGATTTGTTGCCGATGAAGCGACGACTTAATAAATTGGGCAATCATATCAAACAAGTCTGATATCGGCGACCATCCGCTGGCGACGAAATATCGCTTGCGATCGAGTGCGCACACTAGGCAAGTTTTTGATTTTTCATCGTCGGCGACCGAAATCGCCTATGTCGGCTTAAAGTAGCTAAGTCTCTAACTCAATATCATCCAAAGTCTTACACGTTGAAAGCACGAATTATTTGTCAATTCAAATCAACATTGGTGCTGTAATCTTACCCGGAAAAGGTAGGCTTCTGATATCCAATATTTAAGACAAAATAAACATTTTACCATTGGTACACGAGTCGTGTACCATAGTGCGTTTCATCGTCATTTGTAACAAGTAACCAGAAAGAGCGAGGCTAGACATATTCCACAACTCATGTTATAAGGCATGCGCAGTAGACTGGAATAACCAGACGCTAGAAATTTCTATTCGGTGGAGACTGATGCCGTATTTCGCTGGACCTAACTGATTTGAAATTAGAGTCAAAACGGAAACAATTGAATGTAAATCAGTTTATATACAATCAGATTACATTATTATATGCGTTGCTACCCATTTGGGTCAATTTCTAGGTCCCAAACATTAGCGGTTTAGCTCCTTTAAGGTATCATTCGACCAGTTTCATAGTCTTTATCACCCAGACCCGTTCTTTGAAAACTAGAGGTTCTGGGTGTCCGAGACTACCAGGTTCCGCCGACCACGAATCGAATTATTAATATAAATTATAACTACGTTCAAAATATCAAATACTCATATTTTAAAAATGCTTTAAAACATTCAAAATAACGTATTACAACGAATTTGTAAATATATCTATAATATAGTGAATTATATAACAACCAAGATTTCGTTTCGTTTATTATAACCCCAGGAATAAATTTGAGGTAATCATCAAATATGGCGGGAAACGAAGCAGTAGAAGAAATTGTAAATAGTAATAATAATAACGAAGAAAAAGTTGTAGAAGAAAGTCAGGTTCAGGGATCCGATGTCCAGGAACAGTCCGGCGGGGACAGGTTGGTCCGGTTACCAATTACTAGAATAAAACATATAATTAAAACAGACCCTGACGTCAGTTTAGCAAGTTCTGAAGCGGTGGTAGCGCTCACAAAAGCTGCGGTAATAATAATATTTATATTTATTATAGATCCATATTAAGGGTCGTCTGCCTAACCCCGTGGGTTTTCTCCTCACACTACTAAAGATCCCTAAAATGACAAGCAAATTACGGAAATAAAATTGTCCCGAAATGACCTACATGCAGTCTGTATGGAGTGCACATTAAACCACAAAATAACCGTAATATTATGGAAGTGGATAAACAACTGGATTCAGTTCCTTACGAAAATTTACTACGAAACCGGATATCGTCTCTGATTGGCCAATTTCATCACGTGGTTATTCTATCGCGATAGGTTCGGTTCCCAACATTTCTCCAGTACAGGTTAGGGTTAGGCTAACCCTAACCCTAGGAACGTTAATTCCTCACTTTCTTGCATTTTCTAATGTCCGCGTATCTCTTCGCCAATATGTCATTTTATTCTTAAATTCAAATTGTTTCATCGCTTCTAAAAGTGAATTTTGAGTCGTAAATTCAGCACCAACAAGGATGCCTGTAGAGGCCGCCATTTTGGAAAAGACCGCTAATAATCACGTGATAAATTGGCCAATCAGAGACGATATTTAGTTTCGTAGTAAATTTTCGTCAGGAACCGAATCCAGTCGTTTATCCACTTCCTAATATTATTATGTCTTATGATAATGATGATCATATGCCACAAAACAATCAAATACTTTGAAATAGGGTTAAATTAACATCGTCTTACTCTTACATTTTCCTTGCAGTGTTCTAGATAAGATAAGATGTGTACCGTATATTGCGTCAATCAATAGGTACATTTAGACAATACAATTATCTGAGAATACCTGACAACTCATCCAAATATAACAACTCATCCCAAGTTAGAAGACAATTCATCCCAAGATATCAGCTATACTGAAACTCATACATAAAGACAAGGATATAATGTCATATTCTGACGAATTTCTATCAGACATTGATATGGAAACAATCAGCACGACTGGCGCCAACATTTTCAGTCATATGTATGGTTCAAAGAAGGAATTGAAATGTGTGGGCTATGATACATGTAAGTATACGGAGCCCCCAAAACTTAAAACAACTTAAAATTTAAAACAACAATATCAATTTTATTAAAACAACAATATCAATTTTATTAACATAACACAAATCTTTTTATAACAAAATCAGAATGGTCTGAGTGGTCTTCAAAGAAAGCAATTGTATTAAAACAAATATAACTGGCACTTATATTTGTTGGGATGAGTCGTCGTATATCTCGGCCCATGTTTTAAAGTTGGGATGAGTTGTCTTTGGGATGAGTTGTCTGTATACCGCTTACATACAGTATACCACTACCAGGTAAATACATTGATAGAATACAGGTTACAAACAGTAATAAATCTAATGAGTCAGCTCCCACCATGAGACAGCAGCCTTTGCTCAGAACATGACATTTCCTTCTACAAATACAATTCATTGAATTCCAACTATGAATGCTTCTTTTAATTTTATGTGCAAGTCAACGAGTAGGCCAACACTGTTGTACTAAACTTGTAGATTACATCAGTTTTCTTTCCCATCCGACAGAAGCTTTTTTCCTTGTCAGTCCCTCCATCCTGCACCACTGAAAAAGGAGATAAGAAAAAGAATCCTCAGGATAGTTCTTGGTCAACACTGGGATCCATACTTCACATTCATAAGCATAAAGGGATTCTGTCTTATTTAATTTTTAGAAATTGATCAAGAAATGGGTGTAGTTATGTCTTTGAAAGAGAGAAAGAGGGAGAGAAATGGGGGTTTAATGTCCACTCGACACAAACTAGGTCATTTCGGGACTAACACATGTTTCAATTTTTATTCCTATAATTCGCTTGCGCGTGTAGGGGTCTTGAGCAGTGGGAGGAAACCGGACAGGCGACCCTACTCCTTGTCACGTACAACCGGGGAATCGAAACCCCGCCAGTTGACTCAATGACAGACCGCATGATACAGTGCAGCGCGCGCGTGCTAACCATTTCGCCATCCAACCCCCCTATGTCTTTGAAACCATCCAGCTGCAAATATTAGTATAACCCAAGATCATTTTTGTGGGGAAAAGAATGACAAAATCTGATTCAAATAACAAACACTGTCCAAATTAAAAAAACATGGTAGATGTTTTTGTGAAAATTAAACAACCACCTGGAAAGTGAGTGAACATACATTGAGAATATTTTAAACATTTTTTTCATGGTCTTCATGAAACACTCAAGTGAATAATCTTTATAGACCCAAAGGCAAATGATAAGTAAAATTTGTTAAAGATACATTGTGGGAGATTAGATAAAGAGCTGGCAGTTCTCACTATAATAGTTAAAAACTAGATAATGTAAAGGGGATTTGCTGAAATTTTCAGTCAAAATGATCATCTCTGAACCGAGAATTTAGCGATTCAATTTTGGGCCTAGCTTTGATCATCATTACTAAAGTCGGTACGTTAAAAAACATAATCTTGATTATCCATTATTTGATTTAATCATCAATGCGCGTTGAGCAGCAGATCAGATCCTAATCCAGTAAATATCGCTAGCTAGCGATGACATCGAGAGTTGTTTATGGTCTGGATAAGTTAATTAATGTCTAATTAATAGTTTATATAACATTTCAGGCCTAAAGACAGACCCGAAATTGGCTCTTGCATAATGTATGTTTAATTGATCATCATAATGTCTGCATTAAAGAGAGATTTCAATCAAAATAATTAAAACAAAGAAATGTTGAACAACGTAATAAAATATGTTTTTATTTGTAGGAGTTGTTTATTCAGATGGTGGCCAAAGATGCTGTTGAAAAAACCTTAAATAATAAAAGAAAAACACTACAGAGAAAAGATTTAGGTGAGTAAGAGAGAGGGAACGAGAGAGAGAGAAATGGGGTTTAACGTCCACTCGACACAAACTAGGTCATTTCGGGACTAAGACATGTTCAATTTATTATTTCTATAATTCGCTTGCACGTATGTCTTTAGCAGTGGGGGGAAACCAGAGGACCCGGAGAAAACCCACGAGGTTGGACAGGCGATCCTACTCCTTGTCACGTACAACCAGGGATTCGAGAGGGTCTGACAAGGAAAGCTGTCTAGTCGTTCGGATGAGACGAAAACCCGAGGTCCCGTGTACACATTGGTATGCAATTGGAATTCGATATGGCGTATGCCCGTCTTCGTTAGCCCAGGTTAGGAGCAGAACAGTAGGACGTTAAACCCCATTTCATTTCATTTATTTGCAAAAACAGGAGCCACGGTGCCTATATGTGGGTAGGACGCTGGCTCACAATTCCAAGATGGCTGTGTGATGACATCATACGTATTTGCTGGTCAGTTGTACCTGAACTGTAAAATAGACCAATTTTTGCCATGCAAAATGACACCAGACGGATTGTGTCCGACAAAGCTTGAAAGTTTGCTTGACAGTGTCTGTGCCATGAGTTGCTGTCTTGCCTTCTAGTGATTTTAACTATTGAGTAAAGTAAATTCTGGATCCGCTGTGGCTCAGTGGGTGAGATGCTGGCTTGCTAACCAGGAGGTCTCATGTTCGCTCACAACATTGGCCGATAAAGTTCCTCAGGGTTTTCTGTCACAGGTTTCCCTAGTTAATGGGGAAGGATGGTTTACTGTAATTTTTCTTTCTTTCTAGATATTGTTTTAGAAACGAGGGACAGTTATACATTTTTAGAAGGTAAGTTTTTATAATACACCCACATTTTCATGTTGACGTATCTGGTTGTCACCCCTGTCCTGACATTCAAATTTAGTTTGTGGACACTCTACCGGTCACAATTTTTATCTAATTTTGACGAATCTTGAAATATAGGTTCTTTACGATATTGGTAGGAATTTTCTATTAAATTTTTTAATTAGAGACTAAAGGGGGACAACTCCAATTTTTCTGAAGATTAAAGGGAGATAATCAGATTAGGCCTATAATTTATTTGCTATTATTTTAATGTAATTCTACAAACCTATTAAAGGTCAGCAGAAAGTGGACTAGTCAGATTTTGATACAAAACTACTTCTTAAATATTTACTTCCCATTCAACATTATCAAAGATGGTGAATCAGTGTGTATCCAATCTATTTCAGGTCAAATTTTTGTGATATTTTGACTTATTTTTCAAAGGGATAAATATTTTCTGCATTTGCATCAGTATTAGAGAAATATTATGATATGTTGGATGGGAAGTTGATTTATTATAGATTTAATATGCGAATCGAACACCAAAATGTGAAGAAAAGGCCTTTTCACTTATGAGTCATTTGTAAATGATTGCTGAAAGATTTTACATGGGTTATGTAGTGCAGTTGCCACCAATATTTCATTGAGTGACCTAATACACACCTCCAGTCGTTGTTTGTATATTAGAGGAGAGCCGAAACAAGCTCCCATTAATGAACAAATTGAAAAAATCGCTCCCCATAAAAGCTCTCCCAGTTTCAGTAAGAACAATGATTTAGAAATTAAGGAAAGTGATCTGATATTAAGGAGAGTGTTTAGTTGTGCGTATGGGAAATGGTTCTGAAGATCAATAACTGCATGTTAGGGGGTCATTCCTGGATTCATAAATGATAATAAACCCCCATGACTTTGTAAAGGAGAGCGATTTCAGTTTTAATGAGAGGGAAAAAAACCTCCCCTTGATCGACATTCAGATGAGCAGCAGGCGCTCGAGAGCGATCACTCGCCTTAAAAAACAATGACTGCACCCCCCCCCCCCCCCAAAAAAAAAAAAAAATACATACAAATGTATAAGGTAAAGTTGTGGCTCTGCAAAAGTTATTAACTGGTTTATCTAGACACATAGTGATTGCTAGTCAAAAAGTTTGTATCCAACTCTACTTGACAACTTCCTGTAACAGAAACGGTCCACAGGCTGTGTTTTGTTTTTGTTTAAGATGTTTTCTTCAAACTTTGTGGAATTGTTTGGCCAATCATTAGTAGAAAACCTAAATTTTTCTTGTGTATTTATAGCCATTCACTTGAATGTCACTCTTTAAAAACTGCTGGTGGATGTATATTTATTGCCTGACAATTAATGCCAATATTTGTAGTTGAAGATTGTAACATTTGTGAATTAACTGTATTTTTTGTTTCTACTTCAGGTGCATTAGACACGTAATAAAAATTGAAGAAAAGTTCATTTTAATTCCTGAGGACAAGAAAGGTTGTTTCACGTACCGATTTGTTAAATATTTTTTAAATCTTCCAAGACTTTCTCCAAACACAGACAGATGATCTATCTTTATTGCGTGCATGTTTTTCGCGACCAAAATGTCCGTTAATGCAAATGTAATGGGACCATTTCCATGTAACCGGTGAAAAAGTGTTCTTGGAGAACAGGCTTTATTTCTATCTGTTGAATGTAGTTTCTAGACAAAGAAGAAATGATTCAAAAGGAACATATGGTCATTCCTCGATCAATATTGTTGCATTCGCTTCATTTGATCAGCATTTTAGAGGAAAAATATTCAAAAGAGAGAATACCATTTGTAAAATTAACATTTGGTTGACATTTCAGAGGAAAAAATTCTGCATATGGTTCAAGACAGAATTCCAGCATTGGTAAAAAATTACCATTGTATGCCATATTCGAATAACCATAAAAGCTCTGTCTCATAACATAAATCGTTATTATTACTGAACTATAAAAATGGATGCTCTTTTAGATACAGATTTGATCAAAAATGCAAATTTGCCCTTCATTTACCTTCAATAGTCGATATCTTATTGCAAGCAAACCATAAAGTAGAAAAGAATATAAACAACATTTCAATGAACTGTTCCATAGGATAATAGGTGGAATTCAATGAACCTTTGACAAAGAGAATTCTTTTGCCCAAGCATTGCACACATGGTCATAGAAATTAAATAAATGTATGTTAGTCTCGAAATAACCAAAGTATTGTGTTCACAGCCACATGAAAATTTCATATATTGTCATTGCCCCTTATGACGGGCGGATGCGGTCACAATGGGCCATTTATATGACTTACTAATTCCATTTATATGACTTACTAATTCCATTTATAAAGCTTTATAATTAATTACTTACTTAGGCACGTGTGGACGCTGGAACCCATCGAAATGGGTGACTGAATTGAATATTATTTTCATAGTTTGATAAATAATTATGAAACTACGTAATTATTTATCAAGTCTTATAAGTCAAATCCCTCGTTACATATAGCGGTGTTTTACCTTTCATGGCGGCTATTGTAAACATAAAATGACGAGAATAAGTTTTATGTATGTTTTAGTTATCCTAGCATCAACTTACTTTGCTAAGGTCACCGCTCCCCCTCCACCCACCGACCGGGGTAGTTCTTTTCACAATTTCTTGCGAGTTTGCCGAAATATCGTGTCGGATGCACTGACATGACATGACTGATACACGTCGGACAAATCCTTCATCATCATCATCATCATTCATCATTCATCATCATCATCACCATCATCACTACCACCATTGGCACCATGATCAGACTGTGTTTCCATGTCCGCAGGTTCTAGTCAATCTAGAGATGCGTACAGAGTTTTTTGCGACAAAATTGCCGTCGGCTTCGTCATCAAAATCTCCGTAATCCGAATCATTAGGCCCTATCAGCCACAATTTCTTGTAAGACTTCCTCTAACGTCATTCGGTTAGCCATTTTGACGTAAATTCGTATAATAATATCCGTTTTTGATTGCAATTTGTAGTTTTGTTTTTATTTTGATCGCTTTGCTATAAATAGCGAAAATGTAAACAGGAAGTAGGAGAAGATAACTGTGTTTTTTATAATTTTCGGACTTGGAGCATTAGGTGAAAAAATGAAGGTTTCGTATGAGAGGGTGTACAACGTGCCGTGCGGCACGCGTGGGCCACGAGGGAAGTTTTCTGAAGACAACATACCCTCATCCTGACCATGGTCATCTTCTGCAGGAAGATTAGTGCGTCCGAATTCCATTTAAGGAAAAAATTTACGAATAAAATGATGTAGGCCCTATGACACCGACGCACACAACTCGAAAACCGCGGACGGGAGTGAGAGGGGCTTGCCATTCAGTAAGACGACCTGTGATTGGCTGGCCGAAGCATCCTCGGGAATTTCCGGGCAGATGTACGAACTTTCCCGAATATTTAGTTCGTTAGATAATTCATTTATAAGACTTAGAAAAAAGATTTATATAGCTACCATATTATTTACAAGACTTCATAAATCATTTATCAAGCTATGAAAATAATATTCAATTCAGTCATACGCTTCGAGGGGTTTCAGCGTTCGCACGTGCCTAAGTAAGTAATTAATTATAAAGCTTTATAAATGGAATTAGTAAGTCATATAAATGGCCCATTGTGACCGCATCCGCCCGTCATAGCCCCTAGTCCGTCATCCACAATTTCTTGTGAACATTCTACAGACTACATTTACCATCCAATCTCTTAAAATTTACAAATATTGTTTACATAAGTGATACGAAGATGCAAACGTTATCATTCGATCTGTATGAAATTTATTTATGCATTATTTAAATTAGAAAAACGAAGAATTCTATTGAATTTCACCAACAATATCATACCGTCTAAATATTTTACCATGTGACATTCTCAGATGACTTAGCTACTTTAGTTTAAAGCTGTAAAACTGGTATATGAATACTAAATATTATACACATTGTAATTACAATTCATTGTTTTTAATAAAAACAATTTAAATCGTTTTCTTCTTTTTCTTAGACAAAACTTTTCAGGATCTCTTGATAGGATATGGGATTAGGTAACAAGACATTTTGGAAATTGGTCTCTGAATGGGGCTAGGGAACAGTCTAGATATCCTATTCAAAATCAGAGTTCCTAAATGGAAGTACATGTAGTGCTGGGTATTGCCACTGCATGTGTGTCATTCAAAAGGAGCCCCATGATTCTAGTCTGGCCCAGGGCCCGCTGTGTTTAAGCTGGGCTTTGCCTTTTGATTCAACGCTGCTTAATGATTAGTAGGACTGCACTACACACAAAACAAAACCGAATTTAACTCAACTACAGTATTACATCACTCCTTTATCTTTTTCATCAGTGTCATGAAATTGATATTTTAAACCGAATGTACAGGGGGGCCCGGAGCAATTGTCTATTCGGCCCTGGTTCTAACTGAATGTGACTCGTTGTCTATCTTCGTCTCTTAGTTCCAGCAGTAAGTGAGAGTCTGTCACGTGTTCTGGGTGATGGATTACAGCTAGTCTGTTGACTATTCTCTAACTCTTGTTTTAACCTACATATTTCACCCTCATATTCTTCCTTCATATGTTGTAACTTCTGAAATTATAATATATAGTTCTAACATAACTAGACCTCTATGATCTGTGTCAAAAATAAAATTGTCAATTTATTTAAAGTCTGGACAGCAGTGCTATAGTCTACTATTTATTATGATTTGGGGAGCCACGCTGGCTAAGTGAGTAAGACGCAGGGGTGCTAGTCTGGAGTTTGCTTTCAGTGTTGGCCGATAAAGTTCATCGGAATTTTCCAGCATGGTTTCCGCTTGTCAGTGATGCAGGATGGAGGGCATGACAAGGACAGTTGTCTAGTCATTTGGACAGGAACATAAAATGAGGTCCCGTGTACATACACATTGGCATGCACAGTAAAGATCCCTTGGCAGTTGGAATTCGATATAAGAATAGGCCGTAGCGCCGCTGCCCGGGTAAAATTTCCCTCATAGCACACTGTAGGGTGTATGCATGTCTTCATTAGCTCGGTCGGAGCAAAACAGTAGGATGTTAAACCCCATTTCATTAAACTTATTAATGTACTACCAATGGTATCTTGGTTTTCCAGTATGTTCTTCTTGCCAGTCACTCCATCCTGTACCAATGACAAGTGGATAGCTGGCTGGGAAATCTTGTCAGAATGGATTTGATGGTGATTTGTTCCTTCAAAATTTTACGTCATTGTGTGTAGCTGTGTTGACACAGTATGTCGACAAAAAACTGAAATGAATAAACAAACAATCCTCCACTTTCTATAAGGTGTAGGGTCACAAGCATTATGATATAGCATAAAAAAATTACAATATTTACCTTTCTAAAAATCTCTTGATTACCCGAGTTGGACTGATTCTGTTGATTCTGTAATTTCTGTCTGTGGATCTTCGCAAGTTGATTTTCATACTGAAATACAACATAATATACATTACTGGACAAACTAAAATACCAAGTGGTTGCGGGGGGTGGGTGTTGACTTGACAATCTGTTTCATAGCGGTAATGCAATAGCCTTCTTTTAACTCTGTAGAAAATGACTAACCTTATTGTTCATGCACATTATAAGTCTACGTTTGACGTCACATCATATGGCTTAGATAACAAGTGCATATTGGACGTAGTAACAAAAACTGGTTCAAGCAGAATTGGTGTCTTATACTCATTTTTCGCCTTTGCATACTATTTTATGTACCCAATTACACTAAATAGAAAATTATTTTTATAACCTATCTAGCTGAAATTTATTTTTGTTGTCTACTCTTTTAAAAGGGAAAAACGATTTTCATTTTCTGTAATAACATCCAGAGTTATTTCCCTTTGTTAAGCAATCTGTTAGCAATTATTATTCCATTTGTGTGAAAAAATCATTCCATCCAAAAATGAAATGGGTTTAACGTCCTACTGTTTTGCTCCAAACAGGGCTAATGAAGATGGGCATACGCCATACAGTGTGCTATGAGGGAAATTTTGCCCGGACAGCGGCACTACGTCTTACTCTTATATCAAATTCCAACTGTCAAGGGATCTTTTACGTGCATGCCAATGTGTACATGGGACCTCGGTTTTTCGTCTCATTCGAATGACTAGACAGCTGTCCTTTGCATCACTGACAAGGGGGATCCACGCCGGAAAATCTAGGTGAACTTTCTCGTCCAATGCAGGGATTGAACACCCGACCTCCAGGCTAGCGAGCCAGAATCTTACCCACTTAGCCACCGTGACCCCCACATTCCATCCAAACGACTAGAAACTGATTCTGGTCCACTGCAAAGCGACACTACACTGAAAAATTCTGAGACAGTACCCCGGTTCTTCTGATAAAAGAAAAAGTTTACCTCCATAGATAAATGAGTAAGTTCAGCTTCTTTTGAGGCTTGAAGTTGGTTATTCTTGTCTTGAAGTTCCTGAATTTCTTTTTCATATTTATTTATTTCTTCTTTAGTACTCGTCTCTTTCTGGTGAGCTACAAAATTAAAATACTGGTAAATAATACAGCTACTAACCTGAAAAGTCTCTGCATAATAGGGTACATTTAACTTCCACTGGGGGGTTGGGTGGCTGAATGGTAAGCACATGTGCGTGGATCAGAAGGTCCGTCATTGAGTGGCGTGGTTTCGATTCCCCGTTTGTACGTGTCAAAGAGTAGGATCGCCTGTCCAGCCTGGTAGGTTTTCTCTTGGTCCTCTGGTTCCCTCCCACTGCTAAAGACCCCCTACGCGCAAGCAAAATATTGAAATAAAATTGAACCATATGTTAGTCCTGAAATGACCTAGGTTGTGTCGAATGGATGTTAAACCACATTTCGCTCTCTCTCTTTAATAATTACATCAAATATAATGCCTTGAGAGAGAGAGAGAGAGAGAAATGGGGTTTAACGTCCACTCGACACAAACTAGGTCATTTCGGGACTAACATATGGTTTAATTTTATTTCAATAATTCGCTTGCGCGTAGGGGTCTTTAGCAGTGGGAGGAAACCGGAGAAAACCCACGAGGTATAATGCCTTGAAGACCTGTTTCAAACAGTAGGAATTTGATGAAGAGTGGGCACAAATATCACTGTCCCACCCATATTTCCCTCATACCACACTGTCCCATCTTCATTAGGCTTTTTGGTGCTGAATAGCAGGTTGTTAAACCAATCATTTCAAATTTTTACCTTCCAAATTAAACAAATCTTTTAGAGACCTGACCTCTTCTTGATGTATTTTTTCTTGTTTGATTATTCCTTCATGTGTTTCTTCTTCAAATTCTGATTTCTCCTATTAACAATAGAGGAAAAATTCACATATCACAGATGACAATATTTGGTCATTTGAGCCCAATTTTGCTATCCTGAATTGCTGGATCAGAATTTCCAAACTTGTGTTAATTGTTATCAGGTATTGTAGAAAACTGATAATGAAAGACAAACTGCAGTACACTCTCCTTTACCCTTCATTTATCTCGAAAACTCGCCGGCGTGAAATCGGATCCTAAGCTTTGCCCCCAGCATGTTCCTGAAGCAACGACTGCGAGTTTCACAACATCTGGCCGTTGCTTGTTTACTTCACAATTCCCGAACTTATAGCTATGTTATCTACAGACACGTGAGCAGCAGCGTCCAATCAGAGGTTGCGACCTCCACGGAAAGCTGAATGTACCTTAAACTTTGCAACTCGATTATCACAGGTAGACATTTTAGCTTGAAAGCGCGAGACTTTGTATTCGCGCCAATCGAGGAATCTGATAGGCTCACAAGTTGGGCTTGTATCCAATCAAAATTAGTGCCGCAATATGCAGGGTATTACGTGAAAGCCTTGATAAGATGTACGTAGTTAAAGCGAGATCAAGCCTTCTATTGAAGATGTGACCCCAGTGGCTATTGATTGGCAGGATTTGTGAGAATGAAATGCTGCCAATTTCTCGACAAAGTGTAAACTTATCTCTGAGAGAGAGAGAGAGAGAGAGAGAAATGGAGTTTAAGTCCACTTGACACAAACTAGGTCATTTCGGGACTAACATATGGTTTAATTTTATTTCAATAATTCGCTTGCGCGTAGGGGTCTTTAGCAGTGGGAGGAAACCGGAGATTGAGATTGACTGCAGTGGTGACTACAGCATGAGCTGGGGCACTTCTGGATCCATCTTGTCGTGGAACAGTCAAAATGTTTAAGTTGGTGAGTTGGGGTGGTCTTATACTTGTGCTTTAATGCTGCCATGATATATCATTGTATTGATGTATCGCTATTCACATTCCCACGATTCGCTTATAAGGTCTGTCATCGATTCTAGTGTTGTGGTAATTCCTATCAGGGTGGTTTGCCTAACCTCTTTGGTTTTCTCTGGAATCCTTCCTCTGGGGTAGCCACGGTGGCTAAGTGGGTAAGATGCTGGCTCGCTAGCCTGGAGATCGCTTGTTCGATCCCTGCATTGGCCGAGAAAGTTCATCCAGGTTTTCGGGTGTGGCTTCCTCTTGTCAGTGGTGCAGGACTGAGGGCTTGACAAAGACAGCTGTCTGTCATACGAATGGGTCAAAAACCGAGGTCCGGTGTAAACATTGACTGGGTATTACATGTATGTTGGCTATATGTTGAACACTAAAGTTTCTTAATGAAATTTAAGTGAACCTAAATACCTTTTTCAGATTTTCTACTTGACATTGAAGCTTGGTAACATTTTCTTTCAATCTTTCATTTTCCTCTGTAATTATATTGAAATAAAAATCACAATTATTATCTCTTCACAATAACTTGTAAATCTCTAAGATGCAGATCATCATTTGAATTTTTTTTTGACAATTCCAAATTTTTCACAGATATCCACGCTAAAATCTACTTAAATTGAGCAATTAATTAAGACAACAAAACCAAAATATCATCAATAATCTCCTGTCTTGGATTAAATTTGATTAAAGAGAGAGAGAGAGTGAGAGGAGGGGAGTAATTTCCACTTGACACAGACTAGGTCATTTTAGGACTAACATATGGTTCATTTTTATTTTATTAAATCGCTTGGGCGTACATGTCTTTTGCAGTGGGAAAAACCCAGAGAAAACGTCCACAAGGTTGGACTCGCAGGAAGCCCTACTTCTTGTCACGTACAATCGGAGAATCAAAATCATGCCACTTGAATCAATGACAGACCTTATGATGAAACGCGTTAATATTTTGGCCACCCAACAGAGAAAATAAACCATTTCTGGATTGGTATTCCATTCATATAATCAACTTTGCACTCACCATCTAGATTATTGATTCTCTGTAACAGTGGCTGAGAATTCTTTACACTTTCAAGAAAATCTTCTGTTTCTGAAATTATATAACATTTTAAATCATAAAATGTAACATAACATATTTTAGATTTGTCTGTGACTAATGGACATCATCTTTTTGAGTTACTGCAGTTCAATGACTAATGGCTTCACTTGTGTGAAGAGTTCTGAAGCTAATTGTTATAAAGATTGTTCTATGACTAATGGCAATGGATGGACCGCCAGCTGTGATTTGTTATAAGATAATTATAACTATAGGGGTGAGGGGGTTGCTGAGTGGTTTGCGCGTGCACATTTTATCATAAGGTCTGTCACTGAGTCAACTGGCATGGTTTCAATTCCCCTGTTGGACGTGACAAGGAGTAGGGTGGCCTGTCCAACCTCGTAGGTTTTCTCCCACTGCTATAGATCCTTACATACAAGCCAATTATTGAAAAAAAATTGAACCATGTGTTAGTCCCGAAATGACCTAGTTTGTGTCAAGTGGACGTTAAACCCCATTTCTCTCTATATATATAAGATTGTTCTTTGACTAACGGAGCACCTTTACTGTGGTTGTAGACTATAACTGTGACTTATGGATCACCTCTCCTGCAATTGTTCTATGACTAATGGGTGGCTAAGTGGGTAAGATGCTGGCTCGCTAGCCTGGAGGTCGGGTGGTCGATCCCTGCATTGGCCGAGAAAGTTCATCCTGATTTTCCGGCGTGGTTCCCCCTTGTCAGTGATGCAGGACGGAGGGCCTGACAAGGACAGCTGTCTAGTCCTTCGGATGATACGAAAAACTGAGGTCCCGTGTATATATTGGAATGCACGTAAAAGATCCCGTGGCAGTTGGAATTCGATATAAGAGTAGGCGATAGTGCCGCTGCCGGGCAAAATTTCCCTCATAGCACACTGTATGGCGTATGCCCGTCTTCATTATAAGAATTTTCACTGTCGATCAGTCAAAAGAAATGAGGGCGTGAGCTGATACATCAATAATAGTCCTCACCATTTAGGATACCCGTACTGCTATTGGATTGATGTTTCTTTTCTTTCTCATGAACCATAACTTCCATCTTGTCTTGTAAAGTTTTAAAAGCATTCACTAGCTTCTGGTGTTCCTAAAGAAAAAAAAATGTGAAATTGCATGAAGCCAAATCTTAAGTTGGGATTTTTGATCCCCAAAATCAAATTCAAATAGCCTATATTCATTTCTTAAAAACGTATGGACGGTGATACTGTGACAATGGCAAATAGTTTATTAAAGGGACAATAACACTCTTGCTGGCTTGAAAGCTCCAGAAAATAAATAATATCTCTATCTAAGTACTAGATGTTTAAGTGTCCTACCTGTTGTGTAAATTATCCATTACATCCTATTTTACTTGTCCAGAGGGTTCGAAAATATTTTTAAATCGAAGTTTCATTTGAAAAGGTTTACGTTAGACGTTTCAAACCATTATGTTGAATTTTTCTAAAATTTTAAATAAGGTGTGTTAAGGTGAAATTTGTATCATCAATTAATTGAAATATTCTAAAATAGTACAATTTGATGACCAGAATAAAGATTGGGACATATTATTCAGTTACAACAAGAGTGGTATTGAGCCTTTAAAATGCCCGAATTACTGAACTTGGACAATCCAATCGATGGCAATATTTAGAAGACTAAATTAAGTGCCGTGTGCTGCCGACATGTATATAGGCCTACTATTAATTAGCCTAACAAGTTGCAAGAGGCCAAATTTGACTGTTGACTGTTGTAGGCCTACACGGTGCACGCACAGATTAACATTAAATTTTTGGAAATAACTAACATTATTCCAACTATCAATGGTTTCTATGAGCAAGTCTGGATTTTCACATTTAGCTACAACTCTGGATAATCCAATATCCTTTTTAACATCATTCTCGTTGGCTGTTCCTTCTTTTATAAAATTTGGGTCCATTTTTTTTTCTGAACTTTTTACTTTCTGAAAACAACGTCGTCTGCTATTTCAGGCTGGATAACCTTGCCATAAGTTTATGAGTTATTTCCCTTTTACAGCTTGCTGGTGTTTGGAGATCAAAAAGGTCGTCCATGTATATAAAGAAGACTAAATAAAGTAACTTGCACAATTTTCCAATTTTCTGCTTATCTGTTACTTTGTGTAGTTTAAATAACCATGACAGTTGATTAGCAACAATCCAAAAATTAATATCTTTAGAAAAAAAAAAAAAGATGGCGACTTCTTCTGTGGATCCAGCAACCGTGGCGTCCAAAGTTGGATTTGCAGAGTTGTGTGGTTTGTTAGAAAAAATTAGCAAAACCCAAGGAAATGATAAAAAGAAGAAAGTTCTGAAAGAGTTTGTAGATTTGTGGAGAAATTATCACACCGAATTACATGCTGATAATCCTGATTTGGTAAGATGACCTACGCTGTAAATCCATTTTGCTTGTTTTGGGTTGCAAACACTGTGACAGATTTATTTATTATATGGTTTCTGGAACATTGAATTACCGGTACCTCCAACGTCAAATTCTAAAAATATTCTATCAAAATTTATATAAAAATGTATTACTTTATCATCAAAAAGCATAGTACAAATCATGGGTTTTCTCCGGGTCCTCTAGTTTCCTCCCACAGCTTAAGACTCTAAAGCGCAAGCAAATTATTGTGATAGAATTACACCTTGTGTTAGTCCTAAAATGACTCAGTTTGTGTCGAGTGGATGTTAAACTCCACTTCTCTCTGTCTCTGCATTCCATATTAGTAAATGTTGTGTGAACATCATGTCCATTACGGCACTTTAGTTCCCTTTAGTGGTCAACATATAATGCACTGTACATCAACATGTACTGTACCTGGTGGCCTTTTAAAAGAAAATAGTTTCATAAATGCATGGAATGTGTGATTTAAGAGGACCAGTATGCATGTATCATCATCAATCACAAGCAATTAGATCCCAAAATTTTAGAATTATGCATTTGACAAAGTGAAGACTTGAGGTTCTCACACAATCAGAATAAATCAAGTTAATGAATTGTAGGTTTATTGAATTGTAATTTTTTTTTTCTTGCAGCCTGATTCCTTCTACCCAGCAATGAGACTGTTATTACCTCATTTAGATAAAGAAAGACTGGCGTATGGTATTAAAGAGGTAATCAAAGGATCTACTTTCACCTTTTTAAAAAATATTTGAACAAAAATAGGGATTAATTTGGCTACTTACATTACATCTGAAATCCCAATTTGAATGAGTTCACTATATAGGCAAGCCTGGAAATAAGGCACCTGTCACATACAATGTCAGTCACAAATTCAGACTTTGTCCGGCACTAAACTTAGGTGCCTAACTGCCTATCATTTTGTCTGGCACTTATTTGTCTTTTTTATTGATATTATAAAACAGTTATTTCCAGGCCTGTATATAGATCATGCTAAATGGCTTAACTATAATGCTGATATACCTGTATTCTAGTAAACCCCATATATAATTATAAGACTAGCAAATCACCTTAGATATTGTGATGTTCCTCTTGCTCGCCATATATTTAATGAATACTCCTAGTGGCTGGAAGTTTTCATAAACCAGTTGAAAGAAGCAAAGATAATTTGAAGTAGAGCTGGGCAATAATTTCAGTTTATTTCCGTTTAAATATTAATAAACATGCATAAAAAGTTGAAAATACCCCCAGAGTATTCACTTGAAACTTTCTAGTCAATATTATTAAAAGTTCTTAGCATACATAAAGTACCGAATTTACAAACAATATTTAATGGGCCAGTTCAAACATAGATCTAATAGCCATGAAGACTTGCGAACTGAAATATTGCCAGCTCAAATTTGAAGAATTTTTGTATTAATGTGAGGATTCAAATATATAATGTTGATGGCAAAATCCTCAAATTTATTTATCATTGCTGTCTCCAGCCATCTGCTGAAGCCACTGAATAGATGGTTTCTTATAATTATGCTCATTTTAATCAATATCATAATTGTACTATGTATTTTTCAGCATATGCTAGCCAAGCTGTTGATTGAAGTCATGTGTTTAGGAAAAGAAAGTCCTGATGCTACAAAGCTGCTGAATTTTAAAGCTCCTAAAACAGCTAGAGGGGTAAGATATTTATATTAAAATAGCTAAAGGGGTAAGATATTCATATTAAAACAGCTGGAGGGGTAAGATATTTATATTAAAACAGTTAAGTGGTAGGATATTCATATTAAACAGCTAGAGGGGTAAGATATTTACATTAAAACAGCTAAAGGGGTAAAATATTTATATTAAAACAGCTAGGGGGTGTAAGATATTCATATTAAAACAGCTAAAGGGGTAAGATATTTATATTAAAACAGCTAAAGGGGTAAGATATTCATATTAAAACAGCTAGAGGGTGTAGGATATTCATATTAAAACAGCTTAAGGGTGTAAAAGATACATATTCAGTCGCTGTTGTCTGTATTTTAGAGGATAGCAGAAAAAGGCTCCCCTTAATGAACAAATTGAAAACATTGCTCCCCCAAAAGAGCTCTCCCAGTTTCGATAAGAAGCATGATTTAGGAATTAAAGATGGGTTCCCAGAAAAGTATTTATCAGGTGGTTATTTCCAATAAAAGTATGGCAATTTTGGTATATATGGAAAGTAGAGATATCCAATATTACTAGAAAAATACTGGATTCCCCGAAAAACACTCATGGAGCGTATACAGGACAAAAATGTAAGGGTTCCCCTAATCAACAGCCCGACGATTAAGAATTTCTGCACGCGTGATGTCAAAGGTCACACGTGAACATGGAGCGCTTGATGTACAAGTTGATAAACTTTATGATGAGTTAGACGTACAACACTTTCTGAGATAAAAATGACGGAAAAAGACGCGGGTAGTGGATAATCCGATAATTTAATTAGGATTCGATATTTGTAATAAATAGTAAGCAATTAAAGACAACATCGTCTTATGTATACAATGAATTCTCCTCTGATTTCCAAGACGTGACGTAAACATGACCTGGTTTGATCGAATTTTAATAGCAGGGCATTCCTTCGCAATTACAATGTTTGAGAAGGATTTGAAGCATAATTATGACAAATTAATTAGTTTGAATATGTTTTTAGTCCATATATACCATTAAATCACCCAGTTTGTACGCAGGAACCCATCTTTAAGGAGAGTGATTAGTTGTATGTATGGGAAATGGTTCTGAAGATCAATAACTGCATGAAAGTGGGTCATTCCTGCTTTCATAACCTTGTAAAGGAGAGTGATTTTCAATTTTAAGGGGAGGGAGAAAAATCTCCCCTTGGTGAACATTCAGGTGCGCAACAGGCACTCGAGAACGATCTCTTGCCTTAAAAAAACAATGACTGCATATTGAAACAATTATATAGTGGAGAGAGAGAGAAATGGGGTTCAACGTCCACTCCAACTATATAGGAGTAAAATACACATATTGAAGCAACTTCAGAAATTTGAGGCAGAGAAAGAAATAGTGTGTTATGTCCGTACAAAACAAAATTTGGTACTAACATATGGTGTATATTATTTCAATGATAGGTTGCACTCAAGAGTCTTTAGCAATGGGAGGAATCTGGAGAAATTCATAGAGGTTAGGCAGCGACCCTACTTGTCACATACAATCCTGCAATTGAATCTTCAGCACTGATCTAGAGTAGGGTTCACTCGTTTGACCACTCGGACACTCAACCTGACTATACAGAAATGGAAGTTGTCATCAAACAAGATTTTTGTTCCTTTCTAAGAACACAATATGATAATTTGCTAAACCATGTTTTTCTGTTTCAGGATGCTGGAGATTTTGCTAACGTAGCTTTTTACGTCTTAAAGAACCGATGTCCAGATAAAGGTACGTTAACCATACAGGAAGTCAACGATTGTCTAGATGCCATTGCAAATAATAACGCAGCCAAGAAAAAGGAACCAGTTCGTAAAAATATTCTCCATCTTTTGAAGAATTTATCAGCCGTGGAACAGAAGTGGTTCATAAGAATGATTGTGAAGGAGTTAAAAGTTGGTTTGAGTCAGGCGTCCATGTTGTCGGTATATCATGCAGATGCTGAGGAATTATATAATGTAAACAATAATTTAGAAAAGGTAACCTGCAATTAATATTTATAGATATGGAGCAGAATTCATGACATAATTCTAACTCTTAACCTGATCATGTATATGTTAATATACTTACGTCACTACACGTACAGATTATGTCTTAAATTCTGCTCCATATAAATATGCTACTAAATGCAATAATTTTTAAACTCATTATGTTAAATATGCATTAATCTAGCCTCATTTGCATAAATATGGTCTCATTTGCATAATGTTATTGTTTCACTTGTTTGTGAAGTGGGTGTAAAGATTTTGAAACAATGGAAGGTTTGAATGACACTTTATCATTTCTGTATTTTGGAAAAGAACTATTCAAATATTTTTTTATTTGTTCATTTCTGGTGGCTCATCTTCATTCACCCAGATGTTTCAGAAAGTAGCATGTTAAACCCTATGGCATTTTGTTCCATTAATTTCTGATTCCATTTTTCATCCAGGTATGTGGTTTGTTACATGATGTGGCTGTACAAGCTCATAAAATTGTAGCAAGTTAAACCCTATTTTTTTTCATTTCTAATTCTATTTTCATCCAGTTTATGTCAATATTGTAGGAAGTTGAACCCTATTTTGTTTCATTTATAATTCTGTTTTCGTCTAGGTATGTCAATTGTTACATGATACGACTGTACAAGCTCATGAGATTGTAGCAAGTTAAACCCTATTTTATTTCCGATTCTGTTTTTGTCTAGGTATGTCGGTTATTACGAGATCCGGCTGTACGAGCTCATGAAATTGGAATATCAATCTTCTCACCATTTACACCAATGTTAGGTGAACGAGGTTCTCCAGAAAAGGTATGATCATCAAATTAAATTCTTGCACTTTCTTTTGACAGGGGAATTGCATAAGGAAGTCTATGCTTACAGTTACACCTAAAACGCCTGATACCACTTCTTGCTTTTCTTGCTGGGTGGTCTAGTGGTTTAACCATAAAGTCTTTCATTGAGTCAAGTGGCATGGTTTTGATTCCCTGCATGTATGTGACAAGGAGTAAGGTCGCCTCCTGTCCAACACCATGGGTTTTCTCTGGGTCCTCCAGTTTCTTCCCACTGCTAAAGACCGCTACGTGCAAATTATATTGAAATAAAATTGAACCATACATGTATGTTAGTCCCGAAATGACCCAGTTTGTGTCAGGGGGACATTAATCCCCATCTCTCTCTCTCTCTCTGGACAATTGTACATCAATTGTCAGACTTCGAATCTTGACATGAAGTCATAAATCCAAGAAGGCTGCGATGGAGTCTACTACTTGTTTTACCTAGATATATAATTTTGAAATTTCAGGTGGAGAAGTTGATGGAGGGTAAAATGTATTTTATAGAAACAAAATTTGATGGTGAGAGAATGTTACTACACAAAAACGATGAGGCTTATAAATATTTCTCTAGAAGGTAACATATAACACCTGATGCCACTTCCTATGTCAGCAGATGATTTTATTTTGCAAGTTAATGGGGATTAGGTGGGTGGGGGGGTATAAAACATGCTTTAGATCATATGGTTTGTCATTAAGTCAAATGGCGTAGTTTCGATCCCAAGGAAATGAAATGGGGTTTAACGTCCTACTGTTCTGCTCCTAACCTGGGCTAATGAAGACGGGCATACGCCACACAGTGTGCTGTGAGGGAAATTTTGCCCGGGCAGCGGCGCTACAGCCTACTCTTATATTGAATTCCAACTGCCAGGGGATCTTTTACATGCACGCCAATGTGTACACGGGACCTCGGTTTTCTGTCCCATCCGAACGACTAGACAGCTGTCCTTGTCAGGCCCTCCATCCTGCATCACTGACAAGGGGAAACCACGCCGGAAAATCTGAATGAACTTTCTCGGTCAATGCAGGGATCAAACACTCGACCTCCAGGCTAGCGAGCCAGCGTCTTACTCTCGATCCCTGCCTGTCCAACATCACGTTTTTTCCGGGTCCTCATGTTTCCTCTTAACTTCTAAAAAATAAACCTAGAAGAATTATTGAAAACAAAATGCACCATATGTTACTCCCAAAATTACCTAGTTTGTGTCAAGTGGATGTTAAACCCTTTTCTCTCTTTTTTTTTTTGAGTTCATATAAGCTGTAGACATATTAAAATTTTATCCACCATTTTCAGAATGCCATTTACGTGAAAGATGAAGCATATTCCAAGTTAAAGAAGTTTAAACCGTAAAAAGTACATGAATTTTTGTCAAGTTTTTCTCATATCTTTTTTCAAAAATAATATTTGTTTTAGTGGTAAAGAGTACACCCATGTATTTGGAAGTAATCCGTACGATGGGTCGTTAACACCATATATCACCAACTGTTTTAAACCAGGAGTTAAATCTTGTATATTGGATGGAGAGATGTTGGGATATCATGCAGAAACTAAAACATATGGTAATAGAAATATTTTATAGCCTACGAAAAAATGTGCTGATATAAAAGCACCAATATTCCGGTATTAGTCTATGGAAGAATAACGTTGCCAATACTATACTATTCAAAAAAAGTAGGGGATATTTGATTTTGGGGGCATAATACTAAAATATGCAAATGGCTACGAAAAAAGTCACTATAGAACCTAACAGAAGAAACATTTCCAGTTACATGTGACGCCCAAACGCACCAATAGCTACCGCATGGGGGTCCAACCCAAGATTTGCACGACTCTGACTTTGAATGTTACAGTCATTGTGGCATTGAATTCCAGGGTGGAAACATCAGTTTAATTGTTTTAGTGACCAGAAAACAAATTTTGATATGCGTCGGCTTACCCAAAATGAAAGGTTACGTGCCCTTGGCATGCTACAGATCGGCACAACACAGGCGGTTGTGGCGCGGACGATGAATGTTTCTCAGTCTGTCATAAGCAGGCTATGGTCCAGATACCGTGATACACAATCTGTACAGGACAGACCACGCTCATGTCGACCAAGGGCGACAACTCAAGCCCAGGATCGATTTATCCGTACCTTGGCCTTGAGAAATCGTGTCATCACAGCAAATCAGATCAGCGCTCGTCTTCAAACAGACACTGGTGTGAGAGTGAGTGGCCAGACGATTCGGAATCGACTGCATAGGGGTCACCTTCGCGCCCGACGTCCTCGCGTGATCCCTTGTTTGAGAGATCATCACATTCAGGCAAGACGTCGTTGGTGTAGGGATCGTCAACACTGGGATAATCGACGCTGGAGCAATGTGATGTTTTCAGATGAGTCAAGGTTCACTGTTGATTTTTTGGACAGACGTAGGAGGGTGTGGCGTCATCGAAACGAGCGCTTCCAAGACGTTAACGTCATCAGACATGATCGATTTGGGGGTGGTTCTGTTATGGTGTGGGGAGGCATCACTGTTGCTGGAAGAACGGCTTTACATGTTGTTGCAGGGCGTGTTACAGGCCAGTACTACCGGGACAACATCTTGGCAGTCCATGTTGTGCCGTTCGCACGACGTCATGGCCGCCGTTTCATCTTCCAGGATGACAACGCAAGATGTCACAGGGCCAGGATCGTTACAGGTTACCTCCAACAACAGAACATCACCACATTACCTTGGCCAGCACTGAGTCCCGACCTCTCCCCCATCAAGCATGTCTGGGACATGCTTGGACAGAGGTTACGTCAACGTCAACAACGTCCTGCCAATGTCCAAGAACTTGCTGCTGCGTTGCAACAGGAATGGGACAATCTGGACCAAAATGACCTTAGACGTCTCATTAGGAGTATGCCACGTCGGATCAATGCTTGTTTGGCAAACAGAGGAGGATTTACCCGTTACTGACTTGGTTGTGATGCTGTGGTAACTTTGCTGTTTGACCCCGGGTATCATTTTACCCTTATAATGGTCAGTCTGTGCCTTACTTAGTCTAACGATCATTTGGAATAAATCGATGAATGTGAACTTCATTTCATTTTGTCATTTGTTTCTTCGTCAGTTTCATTAGATGACTTTAATAACACTTAAAAATCAAATATCCCCTACTTTTTTTGAATAGTATATTTCAATGTTCACGGTGCAAAATGCAAATTCAACAGTTCAAAATACGTATTTTAGTTTTACAATTTGCAATTTCCATTGCTCCACAATACCAATGTCACAGTGTTAAAATACAGAATACACTTTTCAATAATACAAAATATGGTATAATAGTTATTTTGAACATTACACTTCTCCATTCTGCATTTTGCATTATAGACAAATGCATAATAGAACTTAGCATATTAGAACATATACCTTATATGGACCTTATTTGCATACAGAAAAGAATCTGGACTAGGACGGAAATAAAAGATTTCCACTGGTGTTGACCTGACATCAAAGCAACCATGTTCCCATATTAGTAAATCCATGAGCTAGAGTAGCCCCCACAGGGGAGAAGTAAAACAGAGGAATGAAGAACTAAGTGTCACAGGTTTTGAGTTTTTGCAACCCTCTCAAAAAGCAGACAAAACTACATACTTTGTGTCATGGGTTTAGTGTTTTTGCACCCCTTGAGTTTTTGCGTCCTTCTCAAATGGAAAAGATCACATGGTTTCCATGCAGTTTTCAACACTATTGGCACACAGTTGCCATATCATTTCTAACATTACTAGTTACTACTAGTTCCTGTGATTATATAATTTGTTGTCCTCTCAAATGAAATGAAATGAAATGAAATGGGTTTAATGTCTTACTGTTGTGCAGGAAGGAGGGCCTGACAAAGACAGCTGTCTAGTCGTTCGGATGGGACGGAAAACCAAGGACCTGTGTATACATTGGCTTGCACGTAAAAGATCACTTGGCAGTTGAAATTCGATATAAGAGTAGGCCATAGTGCCACTGCCGGGAATAATTTCCCTCATAACACACTGTATCGCGTATGCCCATCTTTATTAGCCCAGTCGGAACAGAACAGTAGGACGGTAAACCCCATTTCATTTAAAATAAAAAATAATCCATATTAGTAAGAGCATGGCAACCACATATCCTAATGAACAGGATAAATATATTTTTCATATTTTTTAACACAGGAACAAAAGCGGAAAAGTTTGATATTAAATCTAAAGAACTTGCGGAGACAAAGGGATATCAAGCGTGTCTACAAGTATTTGATATATTATTATATAATGATAAAGTTTTAACCAATCTACCTCTTCGTGAACGATTAAAATACATCGAGAAAGTTTTTAATCCGACAGAAGGAAGACTGTTAATCAGTAGTGTTAAAGAGGCTCACAATAAGTAAGTACTGTATATTGGAAGTGCTTGGGTGGTGCTTACTATAAAATAAGCCATTTGAAGCCAGAAAACTAAGCTAGTTGACCAACATTTTAAGTCCTAAATCGACGATTTTAATTCAAAAAACACTATGTATACTTCGAGAATTTTGAGAAGTATTTATTCTGCATCCATTCAATAAAATTGAAAAGGTTTATTTGTTCTCTTTGTGTATGACAGATGTGAAATGGAGTATATTAATTTTTAGATATGATGGCCATTCAGGGTAGAGATTTATCGTCGGAGTTTGACGTGATTTTAACCAGTTTTTGCGAATTTTTAAACAATAATTGGATATTAAAGGAATGTGAAAGAAATTAGCACTAGATACACAAGATTATATGATACCTGTGTTACAGTGATGGTTAAACTAATTTTTAATTTCAATAACTTTCCATTTTGCAGTCAAGATTGTGCCGATGCCTTGAACGAGGCCATAGATGGTAGAGAGGAAGGCATCATGGTTAAAAATCCAGAATCTGTTTATAAACCTAATACACGGAAGGGTGGCTGGTTTAAAATTAAACCTGAATATATCGGAGGATTGATGGATGAACTGGACATTGTTATTGTTGGAGGATATTTCGGTGTAGGTCATAGATCAGGGATGATGTCACATTTTATGTGTGCTGTGGCTGTCCCTGGGGAAGATGGTGAGAAACCAACCGTTTTTCATTCATTTTGCAAGGTAAGGAAATTAGCTACAAAGTCTGAATAATTATATATCAAAATACTATTTCAAGTGCTCTTCCCCTATAAACACCTAATTATGAATCTAAAAATTGTGTTATCAGTATAACTATATGCAGATATTTTTGATTGACAAATTTTGGGGATGACAGTCAAACTTCGCCAGAAGTGGTCACAGTTTTCGAATTCTGTATCATAGCTAAAATACTGTAATTATATTTTGTCTATATCATATATTATTTGAAATTGTACATATATTATACACCCAAACCAGAAGGAAGCAAATTAATAAAAGCCTACTTGGCTTGTTTTTGTATCTTATTACTTATGCCTTTTATATTGTATAATATTCTCGAAATAAATACTGTTTAAAAAAAATTTGGTTGTAGATAAAATAACAGAAATGTGTCATAACTTTGTTTATCTCAGGATTAAAATTTTTGCAGAAATGAAATGAGATGGGGTTTAATATCTCACTTTTCTGCACCAACTGGGCAAACAAGTATATGCTGTGCAGTGTGCTGTGAGGGAATTTTTCCCGGAAATGGCATAAATGTCTCATTTGAACAACTAGATACTTGTACGTGACAAGGAGTAGGGTCACCTGTCCTATCTAGTGGGTTTTTGCCCCGTCCTCCGGTTTCTTCCCACTGCTAAAGAGCCCTACGTGCAAGCGAATTATTGAAATAAAATTGAACCATATGTTAGTTCCGAAATGTCATAGTTTGTGTCGAGAGGACGTTAACCTCTCTCTCTCTCTCTCTCTCTCTCTCTCTCTCTCTCACTTTCTCTCTCTCTCTCTCTCTCTCTCTCATTGAATTAAACTAATATTTCAGGTGGGGTCAGGATATTCCAAGAAAGAATTAATAGATTTCAATAAGAAGTTGGCTGATCATTGGCAAGTTTTTGATAAAAGAAATCCTCCGGATTGTCTACAACTGGCATCAGGATTCAAAGAGAAACCAGATGCATGGATCCATCCATCCAAGTCTTGTATTGTGCAGGTACAAAGATATTTAACGGAGCTAAATCCCTTTGATTCAAGTCCAAATAAAGCCTTGAGGTGCTATTTCAATTATGGACAACCTCTATATTGTTGAATATTTGTTTGGGGAGGTGGATGGCCGAATGGTTAGCACGTGCGCGCTGCGCTGTATCATATGGTCTGTCATTGAGTCAACTGGCGGGGTTTCGAATCCCTAGTTTGTGTCGAGTGGACCACGGACGTTAAACCCCATTTCTCTCTCTCTCTCAATATTTGTTTTGAAGATTAAGATTTTAGTTTTATTTTTCGTTTCTGAGTCAAAATTTGTCTGCAGTAAACCACTTGATAACAATCTGATTAAAACACAGATCCTATTTCGTTTTGTTTTGGGGGGTTGGATGGCCGAATGGTTAGCACGTGCGCACTGTATCATTAAGTCTATCATTGAGTCAACTGGCGTGGTTTCGAATCCCCGGTTGTACGTGACAAGGAGTAGGGTCGCCTGTCCAACCTCGTGGGTTTTCTCCGGGTCCTCCGGTTTCTTCCCACTGCTAAAGACCCCTGCGCGCAAGAGAATTATGGAAAAAAAATTGAACCATATGTTAGTCCCGAAATGACCTACTAGTTTGTGTCGAGTGGACGTTAAACCCCATTTCTCTCTCTCTCTCTCGTTTTGTTTTTTATAGTTCAAAATTTTGTTTTACTTGTCGTCACTACACTAGGATCTGGAAGAGTTATTATATAAGCCGCTTTCTGGTAAATATGAGGGATAAACCAATGAAACGGTCTGTTACGACAACTTCTTGGCGTACTGTGCACGGAACTGTGGGTAAACCACTAGAAATGTCAATGCTGGTTGATTAATCAATGTCAAAAGCTGCTCATGTGACCTCTGACGCGACCTATCACTACAACTGGTCAGATCTTCAGGTAGTGTAGGCCATTGAAAGTATAAATCTGTATTTTAATCAGATTGGATTGATAAGACCTTAGAAATGGGGGGGAAAAAAGTTCGGCAATTTTGGCTCCAAAATATAGAGTCAGTCAGGGTACCATAAGCACAGGTAATTTTATTTTACCTTTCATTGTCGATTATTAACATCCTTGTTTACAATTCCAAAGGTAAAAGCTGCCGAGATAACAGACAGTGATAAATATCGTACAGGTTGTACATTACGATTTCCTCGTGTTGAATGTTTCCGTGATGATAAACCCTGGTTCGAATGTTTAACGACGACAGAATTGGAGGAACTCAGACAGGTTCGTAATTATTTTTGAATTTCCGTAAAACCAAAAATATTTGTTTTTAGTTAAGTTAAGGTATTGTGCCATTGTGGTCATCTGTGCTGGTACATGGTGCAGGATTGAGGGTCTGGCAAGGAACAGCATCTAGTCATTTGGATGGGACAAAATTTGAAATGAAATGAAATGAAATGGGGTTTTAATGTCCTACTGTTCTGCTCCTATACTAGGCTAATGAAGACGGGCATACGCAATACAGTGTGCTATGAGGGAAATTTTGCCCGGGCAGCGGCACTATCGCCCACTCTTATATCGAATTCCAACTGCCAAGGGATCTTTTACGTGCATTCCAATGTATACACGGGACCTCAGTTTTTCGTATCATCCGAAGGACTAGGCAGCTGTCCTTGTCAGGCCCTCCAAATTTGAAATGAGAGTAGGCAATAATGCTACTGTCGGGCCAAAATTCCCTCCTTTAAACAATATAATATTATCATTTACTGTATTTACAGAAATCAGGAGGAAAGTTGGCTGGGTCCAGATATGAACTAGGAGATGCAGAACCTGTGAAGAAGAAACGTAAAGTTGTATCGAGAGTTGTCCGCCCTACTGTTGGATCACGATTTAAAGCTATTGATACATCCAACATCACACAGGTTTGTATTTCTAATAGTTCTTTGGAAACTGTAAATATTGTATTTTTGAACGTGATTTTGGTGGAGTATGAGTGCCTGTAAAAGATCCCTTGGCAGTTGGAATTTGATATAAGGGTATGCAGTAGCGCCGCTGTCCGGGTAAAATTTCCTTCGTAGCACAATGTATGGTGTATGTCCGTCTTCATTAGCTCAGTCGGAGCAGAACATTCGGACGTTAAACCACCAAATTACATGGCTAGTGTGAATATGTTCCTGACAATTTGTAGTTAACAATCAATTTACCAAATATCTCTTACTGGAATGCTGTGTAACCAAACGGAAACAACAGCATGATGGAATTAAAATTGATTGAATCCGGATAAGGGTGGGTGTTTTTAACACAGCCTCTAAAGATGGAATTACAACCCATTGAAAGACTCAAAGAGAATAATGTTTATTTTGAACAATGTCTCTAGAAGATGGAATTGCAATCAATTGAACAATGTCTCTAGAAGACTGAATTACAATCAATTGAACAATGTCTCTAGAAGATGTAATTACAATCAATTGAACAATGTCTCTAGAAGACTGAATTACAATCAATTGAACGATGTCTCTAGAAGATGGAATTACAATCAGTTGAACAATGTCTCTAGAAGATAGAATTACAATCAATTGAAAGATTAAATTATTATTTGTAAAATGAACAGATATCTAAGATGTTAGAAGGTAAAGAAATTTGTATAATCAATGGATCATCAGATTGGTCAAAATCTGAGTTGGAGAAGAAAGTAGTCGAGTTTGGTGGAACTATCACTCAAAATCCAGGTAATTAATGTTTATATATTGAACACGCGCCTGGAATAACACAGATCGAATCCCTGATTTCATATACAGAAGAATCTGCTGGATCTTAAACCCCATTTCTCTCTTTCTCTTTATGAGTAAGGGAGCCACGGTGGCTAGGTGGTTAAGACGCTTGCTCGCTAGCCTGGAGGCCGGGTGTTCAATCCCTGCATTGGCCGAGAAAGTTCACCCCGATTTTCTGACATGGTTTCCCCTTGTCAGTGGTGCAGAACGGAGGGCCTGACAAGGACAGCTGTCTAGTCCGTCGGATGATACGAAAAACCGAGGTCCCGTGTATCCATTGGAATGCACGTAAAAGATCCCTTGGCAGTTGGAATTCAATATAAGAGTAGGCAATAGTGCCGCTGCCCGGTCAAAATTTCCCTCATAGCACCCTGTATGGCGTATGCTCGTCTACATTAGCCCAGTATAGGAGCAGAACAGTAGGACGTTAAACCCCATTTCATTTCATTTCTTTATGATTAAAACTATTTTGAGATTGTTGACCTAATTAGCTTTATTTCAAGATAATTCAAGCACCATTTCATGAGAAGGGGATCAATTCAGGAAGGATAGATTTGTTGGCATGTGTGGCAAGCATTCTTTTGTTGTATGCCCCAGTAAACCATTAAATTGCCACTAAAAAAAAGGTTCATTTGGTTTAAACATGGTTTATTGTACTAGCACATAAAACAGTACAAACGGATTGGGACAAAAGTTACGAAAACTTACCGATGCCCTCTCCACATACATGTACATTGTAATTGACAGTTATAAAAGTACAATTGTTAAGAACATACAAAAACGAACGATATAAAAGTTATAATAAATAGTTAAAAATCCCATTAAAGGTCATTTGCCCTTCTTATAGGCAGACTATTACTAAATATTTCGGGGGGGGGGGGGGGGGATGACCGAATGGTTAGCACATGCGTGCTGTATCATAAGGTCTGTCATTGGGTCAACTGCCGTGGTTTCGAATCCCTGGTTGTACGTGAAAAGGAGTAGGGTCGTCTGTCCAACCTCATGCGTTTTCTCTGGGTCTTCCAGTTTCCTCCCACTGCTAAAGACCTCGAACGCTTACCCTAATCCAAACCTACAATCTCGCCAACAATCACGTGCCCTAACCTTATTATACATCTCAGCGACCTTGACAAAAATTGACTTGGTCTTAACAAATAGATGTAGCCATCTGAGAAGAGAGTATTTTTTTTATATGTCCAAATAAGAAAAGTCAGTTTCAAGTGATTATAATAATTAATTACAGATACATCTACGTTTTGTGTGTTGGCCGAGAAGATTGCCGTACGGGTAAACAATCTTATCAAATGTGATCTTTATGACATCGTGAAGGTCAGCTGGTTTGTCAGATGTATAAATGGTGAAAAGTGGATACCATGGTTAGTATTATCTATGATGAGTAGGCCAGGGGCTAAATGAGACGGACGCAATGACGAGCTTTGCGTCAAGGTTTTGTGTTTTTGCACCATGTTGAGTTTTTGGGTCCCCTTGCAAATGGCAAAAAATCATGCGGTTTCAATGCAGTTTTCAACTGCCACCCCTCCCCATCACACACATATAAATATTTTTCTTTTGGGACCCGGAATGGATCTTGTTCCTCATACAAAATCATGGATTACCACACCCCTGGGGTGGGGTCTGAAGTTTGAAACATGTTCTAGGGTCAGTGTTAAATGTTTTCCAAGCTTTAAATAGCTAGCTGGCCAAGTTAACACTGGATAGATTCATATCATCATGGCTTAAACTCAGGTTATTTTTACAGAGAACAGATTTCTCTCTGCAGACATGAGGGCAACTTCAGCTTTAGGGCTTTGTAGGGTCGAAGTCAGTGGTTGTTGAGCGACTATTTGGCCCCCTACTTTGAACCCTGATTATAACCACTGAACGATGACAAACAGGCATCCAGTCAGTAGTGGATGAGAAGAGCATTTTCGATTCCCCGGTTGTACGTGACAAGGAGTAGGGTCGTCTGTCCAACCTCGTGGGTTTTCTCCGGGTCCTCCAGTTTCCTCCCACTGCTAAAGATCCCTACGCTCATGTGAATTATTGAAATAAAATTGAACCATGTGTTGGTCCCGAAATGACCTAGTTTGTGTCGAGTGGAGGTTAAGCCCCATTTCTCTCTCTCTAAGTAAATGATGCACATACAAGAGCTAACCGAATGATGCCCATACAAGAGCTAACTGAATGATGCACTAGGGTAAATGATGCACTAGGGCTAAATATTGCACTAGAGCTTAAATTATGCACTAGGACTAACTAAATGATGCCCTAGAGCTAACTTATGCACTAGGGCTAACTGAATGATGCACCAGGGCTAACTAAATGATGTACTAGAGCTAACTAAATGATACCCTAGAGCTAACTGAATGATGCACCAGGGCTAACTAAATGATGTACTAGGGCTAACTAAATGATGCCCTAGAGCTAACTGAATGATGCACTAGAGCTAACTAAATGATACCCTAGAGCTAACTGAATGATGCACTTGGGCTAAATATTGCACTAGGGCTAAATAAATGATGCATTAGAGTTAACTGAATGATGTACTAGAGCTAACTGAATGATGTAATAGGGCAGACTAAATGATGCACAAGGGTGAATGATAGTTGAGCATTATTGTTGAATATATTAATTATAGGACTCCTGGTGATATGATTCACACATCTCCAGCAAGTTTACGGAAGTTTAAATTAGATTACGATGAATATGGTGATAGCTACACTGAAGACACGACAGAGGACCAACTACAAGAGGTGTTTAATAACATGAAGGAGGTAAAACCAATATAAATATCAACATGTTGTGCAACCGTATAGTGAATTCCTTAGGGTTGGATGGTTGAATGATTAGCGTGTGCGCGCTGCATCATAAGGTCTGTCATTGAGTAAACTGGGGTGGTTTCAATTCCCCGGTTGAACTGTCGCCTGTCCAACCTCATAGATTTTCTCCAGGTCCTCCGGTTTCCTTCCACGACTAAATACCCCTACGCCCAAGCGAATTATTGAAATAATGACCTAGTTTGTGTCAAGCGGAGGTTAAACCCCATTTCTCTTTCTCTCTCTCTCTCTCTCTCTCCAATTAAGTTTATAAATATCTTCATGTTGTGGAACAACTATATGTTGGTGTAACCCCAGGTCTATGTATATATTGGTCATAAGGTCTGTTGTTGAGTCAAGTGACATTGTTTTGATACCAAGTTTGTACATGACAAGGAGTAGGCTCGCTTGCCCAACCTCGTGGGTTATCTCTTTGTCCTTCCAAAACTAAAGACCCCTACGTGCAATTGAATTATTGAAATAACATTCACCTGATGTTAGCCTCGAAATGACTCCATTACTCTGTCTCTATATATATAACGTCATTATAATGACTTTGGTCTATTCCATTTAAAAGTGATTTTTTTTAAAATGATTTGGAGAAGGAAGTTCTACATGGTTTGCATACACTCTTTAAAACGAAAACTCTATTTTTCTGTAGAAAGTGGCATTCCCTCTCCCCATGGTAATTTTAAATGGGATAGCCCTTATTGAATTGTCCAAGCGGCTAGTCAGCAGTTCAGTGCAGTTGTCTCCAGACTGATGTTCAACTGCGGTTGTCCTGAGCAACAGTTGTTTAACTGCTGGTGTCCTGGGCAACAGTTATTCATCTGCAGTTGTCCTTTGCAGCAGTTATCCTAGGTAAAAGTTGTTCAACTGTAGTTGGCAGTAGTTGTCTTTGATTCAACTGCAGTTGTCTTATAGTAAATATTGTGGAAGCAGCAGTTGTCTTAGGTGAAAGTTATTCAACTGCAGTTTTCACAGAAAGAGTAATGGTTGTCGTAACAGCAATTGTCATAGAAGCATTTGCCTTAACAGGTCTGACAGCTCCGGGCCCATTCCTCTGGATCTGGCTTTGCTAGATAGAAGATAGGGACAGTGGGAATATCGTTACTCCATTCATGCCATCACTAATTACATGACAAGGCATTTGACTACCTGATGGTCTTCCAGAAACATGTTGTATGTATGTTTTATATTGTTTTTTCTATAGTTATCAGATGATGATGTGATTGAAGGTAAAGATATAGCTGCTATAGAAGATGAATATTTTCCAGATGATTCACCATATGGTCTCTTTAGAACATGCAGGTTGGTGAAAGGGGGATAACTCTTAATTAAGAACTCCTAATTACTGTATTGAAACATATTTATCAATGTAAAATTTTTCAGTATATATTGACTAGTTCATAGATAACGATTGAATATCACATATTTTGATTATAATAATAATAATAAAAACTTTATTATTATTATAATTATCTATATCCTCAATCTGATTAAAACACAGATCGTATGGCCCCTGATGTGACCTTCCACTACAAATGGTCATATCTTCATGTAGTAGAGACCATCGAAAGTATAAAAAAATGAAACGAAATATAGATCTGTAGTTTAATCAGACTGACTAGATCCCCAACATGCCAGTATAAAAATTAAATATAGAGTTTAAAACCAAAAACCCAACCTCATGCATTTCTCCGGGTCCTCCGGTTTCCTCCCACTGCTAAAGACCCCTACGCGCAAGCGAATTATTGAAATAAAATTAAACCATATGTTAGTCCCGAAATGATCTAGTTTGTGTCGAGTGGAGGTTAAACCCCATTTCTCTCGCTCTTAAAACCAAAAACACATACAAAAATACTTTTATTATAAAATAATTGGCATCCAGAAATTAACAAAATCTATCAAGACCACTACATTCAAGCAAATTATTTAAATAAAATTGAACCATGTTGGTCCCAAATTGCCCTCTCTCTCTCTCTCTCTCTCTCAGTGTAATGGCATTATTCACCATGCAAATCAATTTGCTTTTAATTTTTAGGATCTACGTGGACAATAATCTGGTACTGGGCGACAATTCTACAAAAATACCTAATAGTAGTCTTGATCTACTAGCTCTTGAATTGAGATTCTTTGGTGCTGTTTTATCAGAGAAACTAGATGATCATGTCTCCCATGTGTTAGTTGATAAAAGGTAAAGTAGTTTTAAAAGGAGTTAAACTTCTTTTATTTATTGAGGGGAGGGGTCACGGTGGCTAAGTGAGTAAGACGCTGGCTCGCTAGTCTGGAGGTCGGGTGTTCGATCCCTGCATTGTCCGAGAAAGTTCATCCAGATTTTCCGGCCTGTTTCGTCCTTGTCAGTGATGCAGGACAAGGACTGCTGTCTAGTCGTTCGGGTGGGATGGAAAAAATGAGGTCCCATGTACACATTGACATGTACTAAAAGATCCCTTGACAGTTGGAATTTGATGTAAGAGTAGAGCTGTAGCGCCGCTGTCCGGGCAAAATTTCCCTCATAGCATACTGTATGGCATAAGCCCGTCTTCATTAGCCCAGTCGGAGTAGAACAGTAGGATGTTAAACCCCAATTCATTTCATTTCTTTTATTTATGTTCAATAAGGTTGATCGGATATGTTTTTTCTATCAGTGATGAGGCATGCTCTTCTATATGATAGCATTTTGTGTCAAATGGGGGGATGGGTCTAGTGGTTTAACATGTGCATGTGAAATCAAAAGGTCTGTTATTGAGTCAAGAGGCGTGGTTTCGATTCCCTGCTTGTACGTGACAGGAAGGTATACAAAAGCCACAAAAACAACCAAATTAGCTTATTGTACACATATTATATGGGTTTGAATCCCCACACAGAGTTGATTGTTTTGAGGGGTGTTAAATTTGACGGTACCACCAATCCAATCAAGTGCTGATTGTTTTGGTGTTAAGTTTGATTTACAGTAATTTTATTGTTAATAGAAATTAATTTGACAAGAAAATTTGTCACGTCAGTCTCAAAATGACTCACTCCTTTTTCATTTCAGTGATTTTAGTCGAGTTGGTCAGCTACGAGAAGTTAGGCGTAGAAAGAGTAGAAAATTCCATATTGTTAATGAAGACTGGATGAGATCGTGTTTAGAAGAAGGAGAAATAACCAATGAAAGGAAATATGAACCAGATAGTGTTGTGTCCACTTAATTGGAGAGAGAGATAGAGAGATGGGTTTAGAGAGAGAGGAGAAATAACGAATGAAAGGAAATATGAAACAGATATTGTTATGTGGACTTAATGTTTTAAGGAGTGTCTAGGAACCAACTTATAGTCATCTGAAAACAAAAATTGAGTTTTTTGAGTAAGAATTTTAATACATTCAAAGATTGATATCGGCTAGATTCTGTAAGGCTTTATAAGTTAAAAAATGACAGAATTTTTGATTCGGCAGTTAGGATTAGATGGAATTTTCAAGCAAATGATACTCTTGAAACTTCCCTAATTTGAAGGCCAGACATCCTGCAAGGCAGCTCTTTTATATAGGCGATAAAAGATTAAGTCAATATAGATGAATATCAGTAGGAGAGAAATGATTAAGTCAATATAGATGAATATCAGTAGGAGAGAAATGGGTCTTTAGCAGTTAGGAATAACTGGAGCACCTAGAGAAAATCCATGAAGTTGGACAGACCACCCTACTTCTTGTCGCATACACACTTGGGATCCAGACCCCACCTCTTGACTCTGTGACAGACCTCTTGATGTGAATATTCGCTAGGCTGCTACAATCACTGATAAGGATGACATCAATGCAACTTAATGAGCCAAAAATATTAATTTTTTTCCCAATGACAAATTAAATTCTAAAACATTTTTTTGATGTATTAGAAAAATAAATAAAGACGTTTGCGTATTTGTAGGTAAAAATTATTTCCTATTTAGTGTAAATGGGTATTAAAATGACTAAAAGGCAGCATTCTGCCCGAAGCAGTAACGTCTTATGTAAACAATGCACGTGCCATTCAGACAATGATTGACGCCGCGTGCTGTGACGGCACGTGTTAAAGGCAGTCATCTTTTACAGAAATATTAGAAGACTCATAATTCTCTGTGAAACAGATTGATATATCCTGTGAAGTCGACACAATATCTACTTGATTCTGTTTTATTAGTATGCATGTAGAAAGAAGTGTATGAATTATGAAAATTCTCTATATTGGTTTACCATATTCCTATATTTTCAGTGGCGTGCAGGGATGGGGGGGTGGGCGGTATAGGGGTTCATGGTCTCAGGCATCCAGTCACGGAGGAAAGTCAAATTATCGCTGTTATCTTTGTTGTACAAGCTGCCCTATTTCATTTGTTTTGACATTAATAAAATGTCTTCCTTTCTGACATTTCTTATTTTTAGTACAAGGCCATATACTTAAGTCTTGGAGGGATTGGGGGGGGGGGGGGAGCGGGGGATACAATCAAGGGGTATGCTCGATTGAACATTCTGGAATTGAATTCTGTCAAACCCCAAAATAGTGACATTTGAGTTAAAATGGGAAATTTGGGCTAGAACACATGCGCTGACTGTATAAGAAAATATGACAACTAGTCATGACAGCTGAAACATATTCGTTGTGACAAAAGGTACAATTTTATGGCTACATAATTTCTGAGTTTAATACTCAGCAACGTTTCGAGGAGGATATTATCATCTTTATCAAGCAAATGATAAAGATACGTCAATAGTAGACAAATATTTACAGAATATAAGGATGCCAATCAAAGAAGATATTCGTTGTGCTTAATTAACAGGACTGAATTCCAAGTCACATGATTGCAATTCCGTCAATTCAGTTCCGGACTGCCAATTGAGCATCCCCAAGGAGTTGGCCCCAAGCATCACCAAACCTCTGCGTGTCACTGTATATTTTTTAACTGGTTTATCAATTATTACATGTAATTCCAGTCTGGTTGGAAAGAAGTCAGATATTAATAATTCTCCCTTTGTGTTTTCATTCAGTATGTTCAATTGACTTTAATTTTGTTTATTTAATGTTGTTAATGATAACCCGTCTTCATTCATTATCCCAATCGGAGCAGAACAGTAGGACATTAAACCCCATTTCATTTGTTAATGATAATTTTGTAATATAGTTTTAAAAATTATTAATGAATTTTAACTCATAATTTATTGTTGATCTTTTTTATTTTTTAAGACTTTCATATTTTTTCATGTATAATAATCATGCGCTCATCAAAATATGCATCAATTACTTTGTATACATGTATAATATGATAATAAAATTATAAGAAACAAGACTTCTTTATTTATCATAATAATAATAATAGCTGTATATCTAATAACATCATAAGTCATCTCAATTACAGGTTATTTAATAATAGGGGAGTTGGATGGCCGAATGGTTAATGGTTAGCATGCGTGCACTGTATCATACGGTCTGTCATTGAGTCAACTGGCAGGGTTTCGATTCCCCGGTTGTACGTGACAAGGAGTAGGGTCGCCTGTCCAACCTCATGGGTTTTCTCCGGGTCCTCCGGTTTCCTCCCACTGCTAATGACCCCTACGCGCATGCGAATTATTGAAATAAAATTGAACCATGTGTTAGTCCCGAAATGACCTAGTTTGTGTCGAGTGGACGTTAAACCCAATTTCTCTCTCTCTCTCTATTTAATAATACCTGGGTGAGTGGGAAGTTCAACAGGAAACAACACTTTTTATAGCACACACCCCTCCCCCAACAAAGTATGTACACATCATAATTAAGGACCATTTTCCTTTGTTCTTTTCGTTAATAAGGGCTATTGTGCTTAATATTACCAGAGAGGATAGGAACACATTTTTTGATCCCCATACTATCCAAATATGGTTGGTTGGTTATTTGTTAACTCCTCTACAAATCAAATATTTTTCAAGATCCTCTCTTGTAGAATACAATTTTTATACAACTCCTCCACCTCTGTATCATTTTTCAAATTCACAATTTGTCAGTGGATTTTTATTTTATCATTTCATGATTTAGCGTCAATATATCAATCCAGCGATCATCACAGAATCCATGTCCTATAGCATGGCTATATTCACCGATAACATGTCACTGATTGATCTATCACTTCTAGTATCCACATTGTTTCCATGGCAACACAGGAGGTTAAATCTTGAACTTTGAAAGTACGAACAACAGGAGTCAAACTGCCTGATATTACGATACCAATAACCATCACGTACTGACCTATAAAATAAACATAAGATATAGATTGACACACTTTTCTGCGAGAGAAATGGGGTTTAACATCCACCTGTGGGTTGGATGGCCTAATGGTTAGCGTGTGCATGTTGCATCATAAGGTCTGTCATTGAGTGGTTTTGATTCCCCGGTTATAGGTGACAAGGAGCAGGCTCGCCTGTCCATGGTTTTCTTCCCCTGCTAAAGACCCCTATGCGCAAGCAATTATTGAAATAAAAAAGGACTGTCTAACCTCCGGTTTCCTCCCACTGCTAAAGACGGAGGTATTTATCACATCTTACATTTATATAATATAAAAACATATTTATGTGATACATGTATTAATTAAGTGTGAAGAATGCTTCCAGAGTGGAAAAGGGACAATTCTTTTTATGTGATATTAATCAAAAGTGTAAAGAACGCTTTGAGAGTTGGGGGAGTTAATTCTAGACCTCAGTTTCTTGTGTTAAAATTTTGGATTCAGTCAAAATTCAGTCAGGAAATGTGTATATCTCCATTTAGATGTGGCCTACCCATGTACATGTAAGAGAACCTCAGACAGTTAGAATATAACGGCAGAGTAACTGAGTATACATGTATGTTACACATAAAAATAAACAGACGTTAGTCTTAAAATGACCACAATCAAGACAGTTCTCAATATTTCTATTGCAACTTTCTTGTAAATATTGCTAATTTTTTTTTGTAAATTTGTGTTTCATTTTGTGTGAAGCGTGTATTATTACAATACAAGCCAGGACTGTACAGCACATTTGATGCTTATGGCTGGTTCCCCAGATCCATTCACTTGATTTTGTTGTTTATAGTTTGCCATGTCTGTAGTTTCTGTCACAAATAAAATATAGACCTACTCACCCTTACGTACTCTAGGACAGTTTGGTATTTTATCATTTCCAAAAATTTGAACAATACCAGTTCCATCATCTATATAGATTTCACTACTGTTATCGTTATTCTGAAAATAAACAAATGTTTCTCTAGACACTTATGGTTCCATTTACTTGATTTGGTATCTGTTGTTTATTTATTGCAATGTCTTGTCGGTTTTGTTGTGCGAGTAGTGATAAAACATTCTTCAAAGGCGTCATCTCATCATGGGCAGCGCCGTTGGTAATACAGGAACTTGAAAGTACTTCCAATGGCAGATTTCGTCATACATTCTAGGCTACATGTTGTGTACTGGAGTCTGCTGAGGTTTGCCGAGTGAGACAATGCAAATCATAAAACTAATAGACGAACAAAACTTAGATCGTGAAATGAAAAAAAAGGGGTTTACGTCCTACTGTTTTGCTCCGAACCGGGCTAATGAAGACAGGCATATGCCATACAGTGTCAATGAGGGACATTTTGTCCGGACAGCGGCACTATGGCCTTCTCTTATATCGAATTCCAACTGTCAAGGGATCTTTTACGTGCATGCCAATGTGTACACGGGACCTCGGTTTTTCGTATCATTCAAATGACTAGACAGCTGTCCTTGTCAGGACCTCCGTCCTGCAACCCTGACAAGTGGGAACCACGCCGGAAAATCTGGATGAACTTTCTCGGCCAAGGCAGGGATCGAACACCCGATCTCCAGGCTAGCGAGCTTAGATCATTTTGGGACTAACATGTACAATTTTATTTCAATAATTCACTTGCGTAAAGGTGTCTTTAGCTGTATGAGTAAACTGGAGAACTCGGAGACAACTCACGATGTTGTCATGTACAAGCTGGGAATTAAAACCACTCCAACTGTCTCAATGACCGACCTTATAATCTACAGCGAGAGTGCTACACCACTTGGCAACCCAATCCCTCCATTCTGTCAAGCAAAAAGGGGGGTAATTTTGCGAAGACATCTTACAATCACTATGGAAACTGTTACTATGGCAAATGTCATACCTTTATTACTGTTCCTTGTAACCAAACACACAAAGGTTCAATGGCCGAAGCTGGTTTAGATCGAAATATCTCTTGGATTTCCCCTATAAATAGTTTTCTTGAAGCTTGCTCTAAAGTACTCATTTTAACTGTTTTGTCTTTTCAAGTAAGTAATTCACACATCTTCAACAAAACGCTGTATAAAATAAAGGTTGCCAGGCAATGAGATATATATATATATAGATTTGTGATACCCTTTGTATACAAAATTAAGGCCGATCTGAACCCTATTGCATAAACTGTAATGGAAACCATAAATCAACCCATTGTCTACAGAAGCCAGAAATCAATACATATATGTAGGCTATATAGGCTAGGCTTAGGTCTACATCTTACACACATTTACATGTGCACTTGCAGGTTTTGTGTGTACCAGTAACAAGTTTTGCAGCTTTGTCGTCATTGTAGTTCAAGTTCTGCTTAATGTGCAAATTAGGAAAATAGTGAATGATAAACATTACTACTAAAAGATAATCCAAACATGCAAGCTGAATGGTGATTAGATCAGAAACCTCATCTCACCGTACACTGATCACTGATAAGGATGACATCGATGCGACTTAATGAGCCAGAAATATTAACTTTTTTCCTGCGACAAATTAAATCCTAAAACATTTTTTTTATGTATTGGAAAAATAAATAAAGGCGTTTGACGTATTTGTAGGTAAAAATTATTTCCTATTTAGTGTAAATGGGTTTAAAGCGAGAATTTCAAATTTTCTAAGAAAGTCAAACCATAATTATTTCTGTCTTTTGCTCAATAGGTTGTCAAATCACTATTATACGATCATGGGCATTATTTCCCACCCTTCAAAATCTATGACACAGGAAATAACAACACAATTACCTCTCCTGTTTTGCTATTGACAACATGGCATGGGGCAGCCATTTTCCAAATTCCAACGTTGGAATTTGAAGTTAAAAATGATATTTTTGCCAATTTCTCAGCTGGCAATAGCGAATTATAGGACTGTATATGGATACCATCTATTTTAAGGCTTTATTTTAATACATTTTAAAAATATAACTTGAAAATTTGCAATTGCAACTTTAAAATGACTAAAAGACAGCATTCTGCCCGAATTTATGCAGTCACGTCTTATGTAAGTTATCAAGGAAAATAGTTCGGATATTGTTTCTTTGAAACACAGCCAAGTTAAAACACAGCCAAAATTTTAGCCCATATGATCAATAACAAATCATTTATTACAAACTGTTACTTTTCATTTCCCGCCTTCGCCATTGCTTGTTTACAAATAAGACTCGAATATCAAGACGCTAAATTCTATTGAAGCCCAGTAAACCGCCCATCCCATTATTTCCATCGCTTCTTAAGGTCAGGCAACCGTTTATTAAAATCCGACAACTGTATATAGAAGAGCGTTCACAATGAAAGTTGCACGGACCAACAGCCGATAATATATACCCACATTAAATGTAATTTGGGTTTAGGTTTAGGATTTTAATTCCTTCCGGATATACACGTGTACAGGCCTAATCCAAGATATAGGCATAAATAAACCTAGATAACAAACCTCATCTCTCAACCCTCCGTGTTTACACCAGTATTTCTCAACGTTTTTAGTTACGTTCTTGTAGCTAAAATAAACCAAGCGTGAAAGATTATTCTTAAGAAAATTTATACAAGAAATAGTAAATATTATCGGTTTTTTGAATGAATTTTTTTCTAATTCTATGCACAAATTTACAATAAGGAAGGCAAAAATTACGATGAAGTTTTTATTAGATATATAAACCACCTTGGTGTGTAACAAAGTTATATTTATTTAATTATATACAGTAAGTAGTCCTAAGTAAGTAAGTAAATTTATTCCATAAAAACGCCAACGGAGCAGCATACAATTACAAAAATTACATTTATACAATACAACAAATACGTGTAACAAATAAACGAACGTATAAAGTGGGACACAAAGCATTTCATAAATTCAAACAGTGTCTAGTCGTTCGGGTGAGACGGCAAACCAGAGAGAGAGGGGGGGGGGTTAATGTCCACTCGACACAAACTAGCTCATTTCGGGACAGTGGAAGGAAACCGGAGGACCCGGAGAAAACCCATGAGGTTGGACAGGCGACCCTACTCCTTGTCACGTACAACCGGGGATTCGAAACCACGCCAGTTGACTCAATGACAGGCCTTATGACACAGCGCGCACGTGCTAACCATTCGGCCATCCATTCCCGCAAATGGCAAACCAATTTAAGGTCCCGTATGCACCTAAAGTAAAGCTGGGTATTTGGAATTCGAAATAAGAGTAGACCATTGTGCCGCTGCCGGGTAAAAGTTTATAGCACACTGCATGGTCTATTCATTTGCCCGGGTGGGGCAGGAAAGTAGGACGTTATTCCCCATTTCAGTTCATTTTATTAATTTCGAAAGGGATGTTACATAGTGAGGTTCATTATGCCACTACCAGTTGCGCTGGCTTAGTCACCAAGTCGCCGTATCGATAACCAAGAGCCACAGGCACTTGAAGGGATTCAAATTAAACTTCCTATCTACTGCTTGACTTGTATATAGTCAAGCATTATTAGTAGGAAGTTTTATTTTAATCCCTTCAAGTGCCTGTGCCTGGTCGCGGGTTCGCTGCCGGTGTTGGCCGAGAAAGTTCCTCGGGCTTCTCCAGTGTGGTTTTCCGTTTTGTAAGAGGTGCAGGACTGAGGGCCCAACAAGGAACAGGCTAGTCTTTCGGATGGTACGAAAAACCGATGTCCCGAGCAGTGGCACAGGAACTCTATTTTGAGTGGGTTAGCAGACTTCAAATTTTAGGGGCGCGGGGGGTGTTTTCTAGCACCGCCCTTTGGAAATATTTGGAAATTTCTGTATCCTAGGGTGTTTTCTATTATATCTGGAGAAATATACCTACTTACCGCCGTCTAAAAGTGTTGTTGAGTAACCTGTGATGAATTAGATGAATACTTACGCTAAAGAGATCGCTCGAAAAATGTTGAAACCCATTGCATTTTCAGTTCATTATGCTATTATATAGCATCGGGACAACGACAGCTGTCTAGTCGTTCTGTTGGAACGAAAAACCAAGGTCCCTTGTACACATTGACGTGTAGGTAAAAGATCCCTTGGAAGTTGGAATTCGATATAAGAGTAGGCCGTAGTGCCGCTGTCCGGACAAAATTCCCCCATAGCACACTGTATGGCATATGCCCGTCTTCATTAGCACAGTCGGAGCAGAACCCCAGGTATATAATAGGTTAATTATAAAATATATTTATACAAATTAGTATTGCTGTCTGGAAAAAAGTTCCCTCATAGTCGGTCTTGACCAGTCCAGATGGAACAGCAAATTGGGACGTTATAAAGTCCAAAAAAAGCCTTACAGGGTGTGTTTCATTATGAATTGAAACTTCTATTCACAGGAAAAAATTATATACTCTGGTATAATAGGTTTATTATCAGGTACTAACATCTATATACATACAGAATACAGACATGTAATATACATTACCATACAGATGCGGAACTACTAGGTTAAACCCGGCCCCGAGTTCAAAAAGTTTTTTCCGACTTAAGTTAAGAATTTACTCAAATTGTTCGCCTTATTTTAACTAAAATTTAGCAATTTATAAATCTTTTGTTGTTTTAATGTATCAAATACATCATCACTAAGAAACTATATGCAAAGATATTTCTCATAAACAGTGATTGAAAGTTGCGTAAATTCTTAACTTAAGTCTGAGAAGGCTTTGTGAACTCGCGACCACTCACTAATTATAAGCAGCCGCCAGCTTCTACCCAGAGACTGAACGGCAAACGGATGTTATTTGTTTTTAATTAGAAATATAACGTATAATACATTATATATATATTACTAATATTATGGACAGGTTGATTTAATTTATTTACATATGAAGGACAGGTTGATTTGATTAACTTATAAAAGAACATCAAAATCAGCATGGACATTTGTTCCCAACCATCCCCGAGCAAATACAACTTGCGATTATTTAGAATTAATGAATAATGTATTAGGTCATGTATCATTTACAATCATTAGTTATTATATCATTTGATTTATTAAAAGATCGATAAATGTGCAGGTCTATGATATGATTTTTCTGATCGTAAGAAATGTTATTATTTCAGATAAATATAAGTTTAAATGCAATGAAATGTTGTTTTATGGCAAGTCAGCACCAATCGTTCTATATTGCGCAAAACATAAAAGATAAGTTTATTTGTTGCTTCTTAAAGACTTATCTTTAAAATCACCAGCAGACAAAAGGGTTACCTTTGAAGCTGATAACTTCTAATTATGCTTTTCCATCTACTTTCTAATTTGTCTTTCGGTTCCGCCCAAAATTTGTAAAGCAATGACCATCCTCTCTTGGATGTGTGTAACGCGGATGCATTGGTGGGATCTAAATAATAAGTGTGAGCGCCGAAAACTAATGACTGACACATTCTCACAGCCAATAAAACTTTCAGTGCGCTGAATTCATCTTCTGTAAGTTGACGAAGACTCAAATATCCAGCTAAAATATGACCAGGAACATCTAGCTGGTTGATACGATCGGTAAAAATCATCACGTATGTGATATTAACAGCTAAATTATAGACAAAACAAGAATAGGCTGTATGTTGAAAATCTATCACCCCAGTAAATTTATAACGTTTACATTCTGTTGGTAAATCATCCTGTCCTTCTTCTGGTGCTACCAATATATTTGATTCATTCATATCACCATGTATATAACCTATAACAAATATATTTAACTCGTTTATATCACCATGTATATAATAAATATATTTAACCCATTCATATCACCATGTATATAACAAATATATTTAACTCATTCATATCACCATGTATATAACAAATATATTTAACCCATTCATATCACCATGCATAAAACCTATAACAAATATATTTGATTCATTTATATCACCATGTATATAACAAATATATTTAACCCATTCATATCACCATGCATAAAACCTATAACAAATACATTTGATTCATTTATATCACCATGTATATAACCCATAGCAAATATATTCAACTCACTTATCTCACCATGTATATAACAAATATATTTAACCTTTTTATATCACCGTGTATATAACCTATAACAAATATATTTAACTCATTCATATCACCATGTATATAATAAATATATTTAACTCATGCATATCACCATGTATATAACCTTAACAAATATATTGGATTCATTCACAATGTAGGGAGCCACGGAACTGCGTCATTTGGATAGGACAAAAAACCGAGGCCCCGTTTGCATTGGAATTCGACCACGAGAAGGCGGAAACGTCGCGGTCCGAGCTTAAAAATTTCTCCCATAGCTCATTAGCTGATTTGGCGCCGAAAAATAGGACGTTAAACCGGATGTCAATACCATAACTCATTCTAGATAACAAATGGCGTGCTATTCACTTACCTTTAGGGAACTTTGAAGGGTTTATTTCATTTTTAAAGGCTTCAATTACTTCATTTACAAGCTTCCTATCTTCTGGTTTTAATACGAACACATAATCTTTTAATAACGGCATATTTCCAAGACCCCATCTGCAGTCAAAAGTTTTAAAGAAATCGTTCTGGAATCCCTGCAAAATAATGTATTATATTGATATAATACACGGCTCGGATGCTTATAGATATGCCGTTTAAAGACAGTGGTATCCCTATTAAAGTAAGAGATCATGCGTGAAAATAACAAATTTCACAGAAATAGACACGTTAAATAATCTCCCGAGACGTCGCAAAATATAAATGTAGATCGATGGAATTTCAGTTCAAGATAATTTCGCTACCGGTCTGGTCCCCTCTTGTCAGTGGCGCAGGACACGGGGCCTGGCAAGAGACAACGTACAGTCGCTCGGATGGGACGAAAAACTAAGGTCCAGTGTACACAATGGCGTGCCCGTAAAAGAACCCTTGACATTTGGAATTCGATAGAGTAGACCGTAGCGCCGCTATTCGGGCAAAATTCCCTTAAACTACACTGTATGGCACATATCCGTCTTCATTATCCCGGTTAGACGTTAAAACCTATTTTGCTCAAGAGACTTTAATGATAGTGTAAATATACTGATTGTCGATAGGATTCTTCATTATGAGGACTCGATTGATCTATGAACGATTAAAAAGAAATCTAAATAGGAAAATACAAAGGTTTTTTTTTTTAGTTTTTTTTTTCAAAAAATTATATAGAAATAAAAATAAAAACCCAACCCAAACCGGCTAAACAAAATAAGAAGAAAGAAATATTTGACAGCATACCCGAAAGGCGTTGGTCACTTGGGCGACAAATTGTCCGTTTTTATATAGAAGATTGGGTGTAAAGGGGTAATTCAACAATATATCGCCGGGTAAATACGTTAATAATTTAACAATATGTTGATTATAATCACCTGCAACAAAAACACAATATTAGACAGATAATATAGTAAGGAAATAAAATGAAACAGAGCTTAACAAACGTCTTACTTTTCTTCACCAACCGGGATAATGAAGACGGATATACGCCATGAAGTGCGCTATAAGAGAAATGTTGCCATGTTGTTCCACCATGTAACATGCAGCATACACAATCTTCATTTCTGCACCAACTGCTGCGTTTTTTCCTATTCTTCATCGAAATCCATCTGCCAATGTTTTTATTTCTTACGTATACACGGGACCAAAGCTTTTGGTCTCATCCGAACAACTAGACACTGCCTATTGCCAGACCCCCATTCCTGTACCAATACCAACGGGGTGCCACACTGGAGATTTACGAGGCAAGCTCCTCGCCCAATGTGTCACCATAACTCTCGAAACAACTCAAGTAGAAAATCAATTGTCTTTGGTTGCAGTTACGCGATCTAATATGGAACGTACACTAATACAGGTGACCCGGTGGTCAGCAATAAACCTTCAATACTTGCCCCAACAGACAAATCTACTATGTCAATTATCATTCCTTTGCATTATCATCATAAGGTCTGCCATGTGGTCAACTGGCGTGGTTTCGCCATAACTCTCGAAACAACTCAAGTAGAAAATCAATTGTCTTTGGTTGCAGTTACGCGATCTAATATGGAACGTACACTAAAGTTGTCTTTACAGGTGACCCGGTGGTCAGCAATAAACCTTCAATACTTGCCCCAACAGACAAATCTACTATGTCAATTATCATTCCTTTGAATTATCATCATAAGGTCTGCCATGTGGTCAACTGGCGTGGTTTCGCTTTCCCGGTTGTACGCCACAAGGAGAAAGGTCACCTGTCCAACCATGTGAGTTTTCTCCAGATCGCCCCCCCCCCACCCAACGGCTAAAGCGAATTATTGAAATAAAATTAAACCATATGTTGGTCCCGAAATGACCTATTTTGTATCGAGTGGACGTTAAACCTCCCTCTCTCTTCTTCTCCCCCTCTCTCTCTCTCATTTGCATTATTAAGCCTAACGAATAGTTAATAGTTGTGCCAGGGCATCAGTATCCACATAACTCTGATATAAAATAGCTACAAATACGTACCGATATTACCATTTTGATCTTTGTTTTTATAGATTTGCTGGCAACTCATCAATTCTCCATTTTTATCTGGTACAGGTTTTTGCGTTGGTATTCCCCCTTTTCTCAGATGATCCATCAACAAAAACTGAGCTTCTGCGTAGATAAAGGTTTATATTTTGAAACCGGTGTATTTATCCAAACTATCAGATCGTTATTAAAGATATAAAATATTATAGTTTCAATGATATTACATGAGGGGGTGTATCTTTAAATCATTCACGTCTTTACCAATAGTGATAGCAGGAGGGATGGATGAATGAATGTAATGTTGTTTATGACACGTCAGCACCAACCGGGATATATTAGGCCAAACATGGTGAATTATACTAAATATAACAGATAAATAAAAATGGTATACACAATTAAAATTTAAAATAAAAAAAAACTTGTCTCTTAAAAAGTGTTTACTTCGTAAACCCGATTGGTAAAGATTACAGGAGAACCGAGCGGCACATTATAAATAAGACCCATAAGACAAACCCGCGGACAAGACACACAATATACACAGACATTGAAAGCGATACGCAACAAACGTATGAATAAAATAAAGTGAATTTTAAAGTTGATGGATTGAATGAATGAAATATTGGTTAATGGCACGCCAGCTTCAACCGGGCTATATTGCGCCAAACAAAAAATGGGGGTCTTACTCGAGACAAATTAGAAACAAATAACCACAATATATATATACATAAATAAAAACAAGAATCACAGTAATTATCAAATAAAAATAAATATCACAAATATATTTAAAATATGAAATATAAAATCAAATATATACAATTAAAATTTTCGATAACCATTTCTCTCTTAAAAAATCTTCCGCTTTACAATATAGACCCGGTTGGGCAAACGATTAAGTTGGTGGATTAGAATTACAGCTGTTGTTTCAGCTTTATTCCTACGCCCGTTTCTCCTATATTCATGCTTACCGTGCATCTTGGGTCGTTTTGAATCCAAAATATTAATGATCTTCAAGAGATAACCATGTGGCCAGAGTTGTTTGATGTATTTATTGTCGTAATTCTCATCCACAGTAATAGCATAATTACAATCATCGTAACCATTTATTGATTCCACCGTTAAAACCTTCAATCCGTAAACTCTTTCTAATAGTTCTTCAACCGTTCCTTCCGGTACTACTGGTTTTATCACCTCCCCTGCCTGTTTATAGTTAAATACGTGACACAAAGATAAATTACACAGTAAGAAGTGGTACCACCTGTTCCAGCATGGATAATCATGTCTTAGCTCTGCTCTATACCAGGCATTAGCTGTGACGGGTGTGACAGGGAAAGTAGGCTATCTAAGACAACATATAGGGAAATTATTAATCAACACAAACACCAAACCAAGTCTACCCAAGTTTGAAAACCCCCAATGTGAAGATTTACAATGTGAATTGGTATCTGAAGCATATCCAAAGGATATATGCGAGCTGTTGGTCAGCAACAAAGAAGATATTTATCCCACTCATATTATAAACTTTGATTTTGAATCTTCTGATGAAGACTAAGAATAAACTAATATCTAAACATGTCTTTGATTTACTGAGTTTTTTTATGTACACCTCCAGATCTCTTGAAAAGTACCATTATAATTTAATATATTGAATGACGAAATAGGTCCTGAAGGAAAAAGCTAACGAAAAAACACTTTTAAGGTCAATTTTGAACCAAATGATTTCTGTCCACAAAAACACCTGGTCTCGAAAAACTTGGTCTCATAAATTCACAGCTCGGGTGGCGATTCCCCCACTTCAGCCACCGGACTAATATGTTCACAAGACAACACCAGACACTAGGCTAGTTGACCGCCATTTTATGTCCTAAATCGACAATTTTAGTCGAAATTTTGTTGAGTACTGCTTCCATTTAATAAAGCTGAAAAAGTCTATTTAGTCTTTGTGTGTATGACAGTGTGAAACGGAGTAAGAACGCATTACAGCTATTCTCGGAGTATGAAATGAAATGTGGTTTTATTGCACGTCAGCTCCAACCGGGCTATATTGCGCCAAACATATGGTGAAAATATTCGAGACAAAATAAAAGAAATCACAGAAATATATTTATATCCATAAATAAAAACAAATATCACAGATAATATATAAAATGAAAATAAATATCAAATACTTTATGAATATAAACAATTACACTGTAAAATGAAAGAAGACGGGATACATTATATACAGTTAAAAGTAAAACTTATAATAAAATTTTGTCTCTTTTAAAAAGTTTAGTATCTCACAATATACCTACGGTTGAGCTCGGAGAATGAAGTAGATGGATCTCTGTGCCGAATGAAAACTACCCAGGGCACTAATAATAGGGTATTGCATTTAAAACCATAAAAAATGGCGAGCGTGCACAATCTAGCCCGCGTTACCATTTTTTCTTTAGTTTAGAATGCTCATATTTTTATTGTATGAGGCGAAATCATAAATATTTATTAAGTGAATATTAGGTGACAACATACATTTAAATAACAACGGATTAATGTTCAGTCAACCGTTATACAAGAATGCGGTTTCAAGGCTGACGAGTATAGATCACTTTACATGTCTATACCCCCCCCCCCCCGATTTTGCACATTTTCAGTCGTTATCGAAATATGTGTATGTGTTGAACATTTCCATTGCTGGTGTTAAATACAGCAAGTAAACAAACACCAATGTATTTGGTGTGTTAATGTAATTACAGAGCACCGAAATTTGGGTTAATTTAATAGAAAACACTAAAGATTTGCTTTCAATGCATAGAGTAAACGTCCTACTTCACAGTCACAAGAAGATGACTGTCATCTCGTGGTAGTATAAATTTTAACCGAGAAATAGGAAATCTACATACTTTCTGGATCATCCCCGCGGCATTCTCGGTATCCATCTTGTGCCTCTTTCGGATTGACTAAAAGGTTTTATACTTGCCACCTGCTTGACGCTTTGTAAACTGATACTGCATACTCGCTTGTCTAGCGTATAATAATAACGACTCGTAATACCATTCTGTACGGAAGACCATTAGAGTCAATGAAAAGAATATCCTGACTATCTTGTAATTACAAGATAGCGATTTTGCCCGGACGTCGCTACGGCTTACTCTTATATCGATCGATTTCCACCCGAACGACTGGACAGCCACTGACAAGGGAAAGCCACGCCAGAAAAAAACCCATGAACTTTCTCGGCCAACACCGGGAGCGAATCCGCCACCTCCTGGCTAGCGAGCCAAGGTATTTTTTTTTTAAATCAATAAATACATCATGAAATGAAATGAAATGGGGTTTAACGGCCTACTGTTCTGCTCCTAAACTGAGCATACAGTGTGCTATGAGGGAAATTTTGCCCGGGCAGCGGCGTTACGGCCTACTCTTATATCGAATTCCAACTGCCAAGGGATCTTTAACGTGCACGCCAATATGTACACGGGACCTCGGTTGTCAGGCCCTCCGTCCTGCATCACTGACAAGGGGAAATCACGCCGGAAAATCTGGATGAACTTTCTCGGCCAATGCAGGGATCGAACACCCGACCTCCAGGCTAGCGAGCCAGCATCTTACCCACTTAGCCACGTGATCTCCTATAAATGAAATGAAATGAAATGGGGTTTAACGCCCTACTGTTCTGCTCCTAACCTGGGCTAATGAAGACGGGCATACGCCATACAGTGTGCTATGAGGGAAATTTTGCCCGGGCAGCGGCGCTACGGCCTACTCTTATATCGAATTCCAACTGCCAAGGGATCTTTTACGTGCACGCCAATGTGTACACGGGACCTCGGTTTTTCGTACCATCCGAACGACTAGACAGCTGTCCTTGTCAGGCCCTCCATCCTGCATCACTGACAAGGGGAAACCACGCCGGAAAATCTGGGTGAACTTTCTCGGCCAATGCAGGGATCGAACACCCGACCTCCAGGCTAGCGAGCCAGCGCCTTACCCACTTAGCCACCGTGAACGAGATACAGGGTTTCCTGTCAGTATTCTTGAAACATCTTATAGTACATTTGAGGTTTCTATATAGGTGGAAGCAGTGCAACTGTTCCTTCTGGTAGTTTAAAGACTGCAGCAGTGCAGTGACAATTTGTTGTGCAATCTCTAGAGTTCCAGTGGCTCTTTATGGTATTTTGACCTCAAGAAACATAATTTATGTGAATACATTTGTGATAATGTTTTAATTTGTCTCATATGTTTGGTGCAAGATAGCCCGGTTTGAGCTGACGTGCTATAAAATTTCATGTCATTTCACCTCACTTTTACGGACTGCATGTGGAAGCAACACCGGACGAAGAATGGCTTCAACATAATGTTGAGCTTAGAGATTGCCTTGGACCACCACCAACTGGGACTAGAAGTTGATGTTGAAAGGAACAACAAATTCAAGTCTGCACACACACGTCGAAAATTGTTCGAAGTGATTTTCCACTTCCGAAATATACGTCCGCACATTAAAAACCTAAAAAAGAAATGTCTGAAAGCCCTCAACATATTGAGAGTCTTATCAAATACTGACTGGGGAGCAGACCGTAAGGTCTTGCTCCGATTATATCGAGCTCTTATAAGATCAAAACGCGATTATGGGTGTTTTGTGTATGGGTCTGCCCGCGAGTCTTATCTCAAAGAGCTCGACACCATACACAACCAGGGACTTAGAATCAGTTTAGGAGCATTTCGTACATCTCCAGTGGACAGTTTATACGTCGAGGCGCATGAGCCCTCACTGCACAACAAACGTGATAAACTGGCCCTGCAGTATGCTACGAAAATTGCATCACTTCCAAACCATATTTCATTTAACACCATATTTAGACCTCTTCATGAGCATTTATATCTTGTTAAGACTAACGTCATTCCATCTTTCGGTATTCGCATTCAACCCCTTTTGTCTGAGGCTGGTATCAGTCTTGACAGTATCGCGAATACCCCTCTCTTTGAGACTCCACCGTGGGCTGTATCTCCCCCAAAGATCGATTTCGATCTTTCGCAACATAAAAAGAGAGATACTAGCTCGACGGTGTTTCAGTCTCTCTTTCGAGAGCTAAAGTCTAAATATGGTGATTATGCTCCAATATATACATATGGTTCGAAAGATGATGATCGGGTAGCTTCGGCTACTGTGACACCATCTGAGACAATTTCTGTCCGCCTTCCACCTGCTTCTTCCATCTTTACAGCTGAACTCCAGGCCATTCTACAGGCCTTGGAGTTCATTCAATCATCATCTATATTTAAATATATAATATTTACTGATTCTTTGTCCTCCCTACAAGCAATAAACAACAAACAGCTTGATCACCCATTAGTGGCAGACATTTATCGTCTGCTACTATCATTCGAGAGTACCAGCAAGGACATTGTCAATTGCTGGCTCCCCAGTCATATGGATATCAAAGGGAACGATCAAGCAGACTCGGCTGCCAAGTCTGCTTTAGATCTTCCCATATCTGAATTTTTAACGCCATATAAAGATTTTAAATTTATTATAAATAATTTCATTTATGGCCGCTGGCAACGGTCTTGGGATCTTGCAGGCACAAATAAACTTCATCACATTAAGCCTCTTTTAGGAGATTGGCCAAGCTCCTATAGAACCAGCAGGAGGGATGAAGTTGTTTTGTGCCGCTCTCGCATTGGTCATACTTTTTTAACTCATATTTTCATTTTGAAGCGAGAGCCTCAACCAGAATGTGTTCACTGTCATGTTCCTTTGACAGTAAAACACATCTTGATTGAGTGCAATCATCTCAAGAACGTAAGATCGAAATATTACCGTTGCCAGTCATTACGTCAGCTATTTGCTCAACCGGAGCTATATGATAAAGTACTAACATTTTTAAAAGAGACAAACTTTTATTTTCAATTTTAATTGTATATATTTAATCATGTATATCGTTTTAACTATTTATATATGTAAAATATTAGTTATATTTATTTTTAATTACCGTTGCCAGTCTCTAAGTCATCTATTTGCCCAACCGGGTTTATATTGTAACATACTAGACTTTTTAAAAGAGACATATTTTTATCATAAATTTTAATTGTATATTTATCACTTCATTTTTGTATTTTAAATATTAATATGCATAAAAGGTTTATTTCATTTTTAATTTTAGTTACTGTGATATTGTTTTTATTTATGCATATAATACTTTTTCTGTGATATTTATTTAACTTGTCTCGCATAAATCACCATATGTTTGGCGCAATATAGCCCGGTTGGAGCTGACGTGCCATTAAACAACATTTCATTTGAGTCCAGAAACTAAAATGAAAAGTTATTGATCGATTCAATTGAAATATGGTGTGATGTCATTGGTAGTCCTATTTAACATCCCCTGAAAAATTCAAGTATTACGACAACGGGAGCTGACGGTGAGTGCACGTTACTGGGATAGAACCGCCAAATGGTGAATACATTGAATAAACTGACCAAAGCAACGCGTGATCATTCGGCGTTTGGGTTCAAAATTCAAATGTGTTGGCCGTGGTCTCTCATTTCCCCATAATAATTCGCATGAATGTTAATTTATGTTAAAGCAGGGTATGGGCTCATTTATTTTACAGGGCATCGTAAGGCCATTGTGATCTGTAGTGGATGCCTCCCTTTCATATTATAATTTTTGTTAAAGCAAGATACGAGCTCCCCAAAGTATATTTTGAGTTGTTCCCCTTGCATCGTTCTATTATGGCTTTTCTTACACGGGTGAAATACTCGTATTGAATTGCCAAATACTATACCAAAATCCGTTTTTTGATATGTGTGCTAATAATTGTCAGTTTTCAAGTATTTGTTTTAACTTAGTACTTTAATCATTGGCAAAGATATAGAGAGTCAGAGAGTCCCCGTATTCGTCCCAATCCTTGTGTACTGTTCTGGTTTTGATGGATGGCTGATTTCTATGGTGTCCATTAGAACGATTATGGCTTGCTAGTAGAGTCTTTTAATGATAATGTGGAATTAGATGTTCATATAGGTAACATGGTGTTTATCAGGGAATGAAGACGAGACACATATTTACAACAGAGTCGAACACAAGGCTGGTGATCCACACTGACCCTGCCATTGTGGCTGCTAGCGAATGAAGGAAGACATCATCATGGTTGGTGAGCCATACTGAAACCATCACTGTGGCTCCCAGTGAATAAAAACAGAACAGTGATCTTGGGATGGCCTAGTGGTCTAGAGTGTCACGCTTCGACCTCTAGTTGGCCGGTCACCTCTGGCTTGCGGCTGTGGTTTCGATCCCAGGTGTGAGCGTATGTGGCTTGGAGATAGGGGCGCCTTCTCAACCTCGTGGGTTTACTCCGGGTACTCCGGTTTCCTCCCACAGCAAAGACCCCTGCGCGTGCGCTAAGATCATTAAAATGAACTTGTCTGCGATATCACCTTCGGTGGAAGCGGACGTTAAACGCTAAGAACAACAACTTCACCAAGGAGGTTTTTCAAGAAAGCCAAACTCAATTGGTAATAAGACTCGCGTCTTATGCTGACGACACTCTAATAAAGACTCTTGTGTCTCACGCTGACCACGCTATAATAAGATTTTGTCTCGTATTGACCGCACTGTTATAAGACTGTTGTGTCCACGCTGTAATAATATTCTCTACCGCGTGTTGACCGCATTGTAATACGACTATGTCTCGCGTTGACCGGGGTGTAACAAGACTCATGTCCACTGTAATACGACTATGTCTCGCGTTGACCGGGGTGTAACAAGACTCATGTCCACTGTAATACGACTCTGTCTCACGCTGACCACGCTATAATAAGATTTTGTCTCGTATTGACCGCACTGTTATAAGACTGTTGTGTCCACGCTGTAATAATATTCTCTACCGCGTGTTGACCGCATTGTAATACGACTATGCCTCGCGTTGACCGGGGTGTAACAAGACTCATGTCCACTGTAATACGACTCTGTCTCGCGTTGACCGGGCTGTAATAACTCTTTGTCTAGTATGGTCCACACTGTAATTAGACTCTCTATCCA